ATGACTGGAGGCCTCACAATAAAAAGTATTTCCTCACTTTTAATGGAATCTCTCTCTTTCTCGAACCAATTCTTTCTCTCTCTGTCTCTCTCTCTCTTTCTGTCTCTCTGTCTCTCTCTCTCTCTGTCTCTCTCAAACTCTCTCAAACTCTCTCTCAAACTCTCTCTCTCAAACTCTCTCAAACTCTCTCTCTCAAACTCTCTCTGTCTCTGTCTCTGTCTCTGTCTCTGTCTCTGTCTCTCTCTCTCTCTCTGTCTCTCTCTCTCTCTCTCTGTCTCTCTCTCTCTCTCTCTCTCTCTTAATCTCTCTCTCTCAACCGACCAAACCAATTAATCTCTCTCTCTCTCTCTCTCTCTCTCTCTCTCTCTCTCTCTCTCTCTCTCTCTCTCTCTCACACACACATTCGCATTCGCATTCTCTCCGTCTGCAAAAGGGCAGCGACGTTGACGGCGCGTCTCAGAGGCAGTCGAGGCATCGGGCGTAGATCCGGCTGAGACAGCAATAGTCTTGGTAACACGCTTGTTGGAGGTCTTGTTGAGCCAGCTTTGATACAAGCGAGGCTCATAAGATTCCGACAGCAGGCAGGCAACGGGCGGCGCTCCCTCCCATCCGTCACCTCCCTCCTCTCCGACTTGAACTTTACGCCACGGTCACGCATTGACACCATGTCGGCCGATGTGCGTTGATTGCCCGAGCCCCTGTGCTTCTTGCTCGCCGCCAGCATTCGTGTGGTTCTTTCACCTTCGCTCCTGCTCTTCGTGTCTTGCAGTTGCCCCCGGGTTATGACATCAGCCTGGACGTCTCCCAGTTTATGCGGGTAAAACTTTGTGCCCCAGCTCCTCTCTTGTCGTGCACCTTCCGGCTTCCAAAACTTGACCAGAGCCTTTGCTGACCCTCGAACGTTGCCTGTTCTCACGGCCTGATATTTTTTTGCGTGGCAGGATCAAAACTCGAGTGCCATGTCTTCGGTACGTTTTAACCGTGCCGACCTATTCGCATGTGCCGCGGAACGAATCGAGAGCCCGGCCAGCCGGTGCACTTGCCCATGCTCACCGCCTCCTTTCCTTGCGCCGTGTGTCCTAGGGTTGGTCCTTCCCATCTTGACTGATTTTCTGTTGTTATTGTTCTTGTTTTGGCTCTGCATCGGCTGCATTATTTATTGTGTTGAAGCTGCAGCATCCTTGTGTACCAGCCATTGAACTTCTCCTCATCAGCACCATCATCTCGTCCTTCCCTTCTTCTTCTTTCTCTTCCTCCTTCTCCTCCTCCTCCTCCTGCGTTCTCCTCCTCCTCCTCGTCCCTGCGCTTTTTGCCCTTTTAAACCTTTTAGGTGACACTGCACACAGCAGCAGTGACACCGCTGCTCCGACGGCTGTACCCAAGGAAGGAGCTGCTGCCAACTCAAACGACGGCTCGGCGGTGTGTCCTTTTGAATGAATAAGAGCTGGTGGCCTACACTCTGACAATAGACGGTGCCCAGTGCCCAGTGCCCAGTGCCCAAGCCAAAGCTGCATCAGCTCTGCCTACTCACGAGATGGCGGCTGCCTTGCACTGGATCACAGCAAATTCAATCCTTGTTTGGCATGATCGCCGGTGATGGGCGTGGTGCCAATTTGGCCCCCCATGCGTCCAACCAGAAGCATTCCACCAGCAAGCTGCCTGAGGATGCCGCTACCAAGGCTGCAGCCGCTGGTATTCGAACAGAAGTATGTCATCGTGCTTGTTCCCACCGTTATTTCATTTCTTTTTTTCTTTTTTTTTTCTGCCCTCCAGACATGAGCAACAAACAGGCTCCCTTGATTTCTATGGCCACACAACCTCATGTTTTATGTTTGCAACCGATGCCCCCACGGTAGCGAGTTACGATTGCTTCCCACAACGGCGCACCTGTGGTGGCAGTAGCCACGGCGGAGATGCGACAACATCTCGAGTTTGAACCCGAAGATATGCTAGTGGAGGATCTGCGACAAGAGTGCCGTGGGCGCAAGCTGGCAACTAGTGGACCGAAGAACGTGCTGGTGCGCCGCTTGCGTGCAGCCGTGACCCAGGACCCAAGCCTGCCACGCCATCGCATGTCTGATGATAACAAGAAGGCCAAGCGCAATCTGAACAAGCGTGAGCCCCAACGCGATGAGTTTGATACCGAAGACGAGTACCAGGATGCTTGGCAACGATGGCGTGCCATTCGTGACCACAATAACGAATCTGTGAAACGCTCTCGTGAAAACGCCCGGCATCGGAAGCATCAGCACGAGGCTGCCTGTCGGGAGCGCGAACGCGAAAACTCGCAGCTTGCCACGGTGGGTCAAGCCCGTGCCCACTTGTGGACCGCCGAAGAGGTCCCCTTGTGTGAAATCATAGCGTGTACAGTAATTTTGGTTCTGTTTGTAATTCTCGTCCCATCAATCACCGGATGCCTCGGCTCCGTCAAGCTGCGCCCTGGCCGTCTCATTGCCACCCACTTGTGGCTCTTGTCTGTTTCGGTGTTGTGCATGTCCTCTAGGAGGTGGACCGTCTCAAAGACCAGGTGGTTCTGTTGACCAAGGTGCTGAAGACACCCGAAGCCTTGAGCATGACCGACCGCGAACAAATTGGCGCGCTCATGTCAGGGCTGGGCCCCTACCCCGGAGAAGGCCTGACTTCCACGGCCGGTTCCAGCAACCCAAATGCCAGTGTCATGTCAGGCGCGGCACTGGCCAGTCAAGGCTTCCTGCAGTCCATTGCCGGTCGGGGTGAGCCCACATCCAAGCGCGAGGCAAGGTGAGGTCGCTGAGGCTGTCACTTGTTTTTCCCCATGTTTGAGGCGCAGGAGGGGCACGTTGTTCCGCTCCCGGCTGTCCGCAGGGCTTGTTGTTGCCTCAATGTGCGTGAGCGTGTGCGTGCAAATGTGTGTGCGGTTCCTGCGATGTGTTTTTGCAATCGATATTCTTTATTCTATCCTTTCCACAGAAACAGCAACCATGAGTGCAGATGTACCTTCTCCCACCTTGTCACACAACACGAAGGCTCGAAGGATTACGCCAGTTCGCCCCGTAGAGTGATCGAATGCAATGATTATGGTGTTGTCTCATAGCAAAACCTTCCCAACCTGACATTGCTCGTCCCCGACGGATCAATCCGTCTCCGGCCCATGTAGTCTTCCAAGCGCCCCTCATTATTCCCAAAGTGAACCTCGGAGCGATGCCGAAGCTCGCTGGTTGCAATACGGGATCCATGTATTCTTCGAATTGACATGACACCCTTGTGAAGTCTGTCTGAAGTTCTAATATGTATTCCTGTTAGCGTCAAATCCGTGCTGGAGCCTGACAATTCCCTAAGCTCACATCATGAGCAATTGTTTTTTCTCACGTTTCACCAAAGGCTTGAGTTTCAGATACTGCTTCGATTCATCTCTGTTTTGCCGAATAAAACACGAAATTCCTTTGAGCAGGCAGTCTCATTGCCATCCTGCCCTGTCCTACGCGTTACCCTTCGCGCCTGCCCAGCATCAAGCATGTGTTGTTCCAAAAAAAAAAAAAAAAAACACAAAAATTCCTTTGAAATTGGGAAAATGCGCATTTTCGTTTGCATGCAAATTTTGTCTGACATTACAGCTCTGCGTGCGGAGAGAGAGAGAGAGAGAGAGAGAGAGAGAGAGGCTCCACCTCAGCATTCGCATAAAGACGTTCAGTGAAGGGTTTGACGCGACTCTCTGGATGACTGGTAAATAGAAAGGGCGAAGAGGGGTTGTTGACATCACTTTGAAACAAGTCTCTGCCCCCTGCCGCACGTTCCTCGGCTCGGTACGTTCGTGCACTGCGGCGCGGATGTGTGTGTGTGGGCTCGCTCGCTCGCTCGGCTCGGCTAGGGGTTTGAGCTCGGGATTTGGCTTTGGGCAAACGATGGCCTTTGGCAAGGCATGGGCTCAGGGTGGTTGAGTGATGGATTCTAAGTGGGGGGAGGGAGGAGAATGCATCCATGATGTTTGCTGATGGGTGGCACTGCTGACAGCCGATCGAGCTGCTCACTGCCTCGTTCTTTTCTCGCGTTTCCCGTCTGTGACCCTGGATCCGATATTGGTTGTGAACGTAGGGCCCGAAGCACCGTACGCACCCGGTGCTTGCTGACAGACGTAAAAGGCTGTTGCGGGAAGCCCTCGTGCCCTCGAGTGTGACAGGCCTGGTGCCAGCAGCAAGCATGGCCACGCCCTCATCGCCTGGCGCTGGGGCGCCAGGGCAAACACGCTCTCGGTCCCGCTTTCTTCGCGGTCTTTCTCTCAAAGAAGATGAACCCCCGTCTTACATGGGTACTCCTGGTTCGTTTCTTTTGACCCCTCTTCCTTTTAGTCCCCGTGCTGCCTCCAACCAACGCGCTCTTGCTTTTGCTTTTGCACGCGATCTGCCATGCGCGGGGGAGCACCACCACTCGGATCACCGGCACATCACATTCAATATCAACCGTCTGTTCGCATGCTGGTCCAGGTGCGCGCGACACGGCTGATGGCTGGACGACTCTGAAGGAATCAACGCTGCGCGTGATCCATGGCCGACGCAAGCGACAGGTCTGTGAAAGCAGCGCCTGCCACTCCTGCCAAGCTTCAATTCCCATCCAGACAACCTTTTTGCTTGGTAGTGACGGCCCGCTTCATCTTCACGCCGCAATTGCCGTTCAACCCCCACTCCATCCCCCCTCTATCACTCGTTAGGAACTTTGGTTTGTCCTTCGCAAGGACACCTTTCTTCGGCGCGACGGCATGCATACCGTGCGCCTCGACATTTACTCGGGCAAAACCAGACGCGAATCTATTCTCTTGGACGTCAGTTTAGCTCCTGCCTTCTCTTTCCCACGGTGCCCCCTGACGAGATGAGCCCTGGCCTAACAACGTGTGGCCCACTTTGCATCATCAAGCAGAATAGCCGGGTCGTTCCGCTGACCAACCCCCCCGGCGCATTTATGATCTCATTGGCTGACAAGCGGGTCATCACACTGCAACCCCTTTCAGGTGACTCTAGCTCGCATCTCCTGCTTAGCCTGGCACCCAGTCTATGCCTCACGTTTTGTGCTTGCACCTTTGCAGAGGATCCATCTGATGGCGCCGATTGGGTGGGCGCTCTACAGCTGGCCATTACGCTGCCCAACGTGAACCGCCGCCGCGTAGAGTCAATCAGCCAAAAAGCAAAAAATTCCATGCGCATCCTCAAGCGACACAACACTGATCGGCTCAATGCGCAAGCCGTACGTGGCTCTACCTATCTCATGTGGACCCATCGTCCCCACAATTTTCAGCCCCAGTCTGACCTCAGCTGCCGTTCCTGGTATTTGATAAATAATTTGTAGGCCTCAACTCTTTCAAATGTGCAAGAGGACGAGCCGTCCATCCTGGGCGCGGCGTTGGCCTCAACCAACCTTGCCGACTCCGCATCTAGCCCAGACGTTCCTCAGCCATCCAATGATGCTGAAACGGCACACACAAATGAACCTGTCGGCGCAGACGACTCTGCTCTCAGCGATGGCGCCGAGAATGACGCAGAGGCTCTTGCAGGCAATCCAGTGGAGCTGAATGAAGAAACTATGGATCAACTTGATCTCTTTGGAGGCGAGCAGGATGATCTCAACGTTCTCGATCTGAGTCAATCTGCATTTCAGCACTGCTCGCCAACGATGCGAGAGTCTTATGTCACTTGCCTCATCTCTCGCCTCGATGATATGGAGCAGCAGTACAAAAGTATGTCTCTCAGGTGTCCCTACCCTCCTTCTTTCTCTTGCCTTGTCCGTCCAGAGCTTTTGTGTCACAGCGGCTGGCTCTGCCCATTCCTCATCTGCACTGTTTGTATGTTTGCTTGATTAGCGCGCTTTGATCGTCAGCTGAGCCGGCTGCGCGAGTCTCCTGACGTGCAAGCTCTGCGGGATCGCTTGGCACTGGGCTACCTACTGCCCACAGACAACACCTACCGCGATCAAATCCATCTCTTTCTCAGCTCAACCTTTATGGTAGGGACCGCCCCGTTCTGACTCACCTTGCCACTTCGCGGGACTCGTCGTTGCTTACGCTTCCGCTTTGCGCAACACGCTTCAGGACTCTAGCCTTGAACGCGAGTTCTTGCTTCTGCACGTCTTTCCACGCCTCAAGGTTTTCCTCCGTCAGCATAGCCTCAATCTCAATCCCGTGGACCTGTATGTATCCACAACTCGCCACCGCCCGAACGTCACAGCCATCTCCTTTGCACAAGTCTGCATTTCGAAAAGCGCAACACCTTCTCAATCACGCATACCACTTTTGCTAGGCGCTGGGGTGCTGGCGAATTTATGCCTGATTTCGACACGGTCAACGTCTGCCTGGATCAACTTGAGGTAGGCTTGTTTCAGACCACCCCTAACCCACTCCCAATTCTCAACAGGCCCTTGCCATCGATACACACTCGATCTGTACCCTTTTATTACCCTTATCCTGCTCGCATGTGCAGGAGTGCCTGGAGCGCTCGCTAGGTCCGGCCATGGTTTTCCTGCGCACACAGCGCCGCGGTTGGAACCCCTTGCCCTCACGGATCAGTGAAGGCGATATGCAAGACCTGCTATCTAAGGCTACTCAGTCCGAGGCTGAGATTCTCACGCACCTGTATCGGCAAGACGCCAACGCGATGCAACACCCCAGCGATTACATCGGCAGCCCGCTTGCGGCGGACGAACAATGGGACGTGGTCATGGCTCAGTTGCAAAGCGTGCGCTCCATCCTTCTCGCGCATCGCCCCGACCTGCTGCAAGCCACCCTGACACAAATGGAGCTTCAAGCAGCCTTGGCGACCGCACGCCGTTCGGAGGTGCAAATTTTGGCTTACCGTCGAGAGCTGTCCGTGAGCCTTTATGCTCAGGCCCTTTCAGCGCCGTTCACCGATTCCCAGGAATGGGAACCCCTCCTGGAGGCCGGCGCCAAGGATCCCATCAACACCATCGACCAGCTATTGGAAGAGCATGGGCTGACGAGCAAAACCTACCTTGTCAACGGTGATCGACTTGCAGAATCGGCCGTCTATGTCGACTATGCCACAGAAATGGCGCTCGATGTGGCGCGCGACTGCTTGCGGCGCATCGGTAGCGTTTTTGTGGACGTACCCGTTCTTGCCCTACCCTTGTGGGCCCGTGAGTGCTACCAGCACCTTCAATACGCTCGACAGGTTGCTAATGCTAGTTGCGTTCAGGCGCCCATCGTGCAGCGCATGCATGATTACATCAATCGTCGCAACTCGTTTCGTCCCTTTGTCATCCTGGGCGACTCTGGGAGTGGCTGTCGCGAAGCCGTGGCTCAATTTGTGACCCAGATTGTTGAAGCAGGCAACGAGAGTGACAGCGTCATGCTGGTTCGCTTCGCAGGCCTCACCTCAATCGCCGATAGTGTGACCCAGACGCTACGCTCGCTCTTAGAGCAGGCTGCCGCTGCGCTGGGTGCCCTCGATACGGACGAGTTTCAGAACATGGCCTCCATGGCGGTGGCTGAATGCTTCCTGCGCCGCCTCACTGCAGCATGCACCCTGAAGCGACCCGTTGTGGTGGTGCTTGAGGACGTTGACCAATTTGTTGATGAGCCCTTCAAGGAGGAGGAGCGAGCCGGCTTATCCTCTTGGCTCTCTGCTCAAGTGCCTCCAGGTATCAAAATCATTTTGACGGCCAAGCCCAACGGCCCCGCGCATCGCCAACTGGCCACCTTCTTGAAGGATTCAGACTTTTCTTCAATGGATACGTTGTCCCTCGACGAGGCACAACGCCTCCTCAGCCACTCCCTGGCCCGTTCACATCGCACCGTGACCGCAGAGCAGCAGACAGCCCTGTCCAACGCACTTGAAGCCGCTACCCATCGCGATCCCCTCTTTGTGACCATGCTTGCCGATACGGTGCGCACTGGCTCTGCCCACATTCGTTCCAACAGTGCTTTAGTGTGCCGTTGCAGGACCGTCCCCTCCCTTAATCTTACACTTGGCCTTCCTTGGTGCCCAACCATCATGTAGGCATCCAAGTGGCCCTCATTTGCTCCTGTCGCCAACCCTTTACCTGTATCGACCCACGGTCTTTGCAACCTATTCTTTGACAAGCTAGAATCTCTTCACGGCCAGGCTCTCATTGCAAATCTTTTTGGGTCAGTTTGTCGATGAACCGAGCGTTTTGGCCAATCGTCGTCGCCTGCCTTCTTTTCCTTCTTCTGCTTCTTCTTCTTCTTTTTTTTTCCGTGTCCTTGATGGTGGTCTGCTCTCAACACGGCGACAGATGCATGTGCGCAAGCCGTTCTGGCTTGAACGCCGAGGAGCTCGGTCTCATTCTGATCAACAACGAGACTGTGCGCACCCAGCTATTTCGCCGGCAAGAGTTTCCTGGTTCGTGCGCAACCTACCTGAAAACTTCTTCTTTTTTTTCACTGTTTCTTTGCAGTCGCCATCACTCACGGAAACACGCATCCCCCCCACAACCGTTTCTCCTTTTCCTTTCCAGGCAAGCAATTTCCTCTTCACGTGCTAAGAGCCATTCAGAGCGCGCTCAAGCACAATCTGCACGCATCGACGGATGGCGTGTGGCGCTTTACTTATTCACAATTTCACGAAGCGGCCATTGCTCGATATGGCCAGGACCTGCCAGCGCTTCAGCGACACATGGCTATTGTATTGCGCGATCATCTGTTGAAGCAAATTGCCATATCAGAGAAAGTGTACGTCGGTTTGTTTGCTGGGATGTCTGTTCACCTGACTCGGACTGACTATCTCAATCCCGTTTTATTGCTGATTCGGTTACAGATCTGCCTTTGATCGCCTCATCTTGGAAGTGCCGTGGCTTATGGCCCAGTCCGAACTCAAGGACGAGCTTTTTGCCTTGCTACTTGAGCCGCCGATTTTTCGCGCATTGATTCAGTGGCACTCCAACAGCACCAATCACCAGATCGTGCACTACTGGGAGGCCTGCGGTCGTGCTGAGCACGAGCTTGTGGAGGCTTACATTGCCGCGGCGGAGGGCGCAGTGAGTTGTTGAGCTTCTTTGCACTGGTTTCATCTTTGCCATGTTTTGCATCCTTTCTCACCGAAAGGCTCGTTCAGGTACGCGAGGACCTCTTTTATGCCGTACTGGGCCGAGATCTCGTTGTCTTCCTCGAGCTGCAGGGGGATCGCAAACGTGCCGTCGAAACTTCGGTACGTAATTCAGGCTAGGCTGGCACACGCAGGGAATGCCAGCAGGGTTACCAACGCAAACAGAGGGTCAAGCGTACTCTCTCCAAAATCAAGCCTTGCCTCATCCTTCCATGGGGTCCCGGGTGTGACGGGGGCTCTGTAGACACGAGTGCTGCCCATTATCCGCGCAGCTGTGCAAGAATCCAAACCGTTGGCCGAGGCTTATAATGCCTACGGTAGGTCGCTGTGCTGTTTGCTGTGTCGCTCGTCGCCAACCCGCACTCTGACTAGTCCCTTGCCGTCTTGGTGCTCTGCAGGCCGTGCCCTGCTCAAGCATGGCCAATGGGATGTGGCCATTGATCAGTTTGAAAATGCTCTCGAAGTTTTGCGCAAGATTCAGCCGTTCGATGAGCGAAGTTCGATTTTGTGCAATGCGCTCGCTTTCCGACGATGCTTTGTGCACGCACACTTACCCTCCGGGCCCATGTTTTGCAGCCTATAGCTTTGTGCTTAACAACCTGGGGGTAGCATACAAGCGCTGCGGGCGCTTTCGTGCTGCCATCGAGACTTTGTCCGAGGCCAAGACCATCTCTGAGGTGCGTTGTGAAAGTGTGATCTTTAGACAGGCTTGCCGGTGGGCAAACGCACTTGTGTCACGATTCTGCTCGGTTTGTCAACGACTCACCATGGGCTGCTTGTGCTTGCAGAGTCAAGACAGCTCCGAGGCCAATTTGGATTTGGCTACCCAACTCCTCAACATCGGGCTGTTGCACGGCCATCTGGGTGAATATGAGGACGCTGTGGCCACCATTTCGCGCTGCGCTGAAATATTCAAGCGTTACAAGGGTGCGTGTTGCAGCCATGGGGGCCAGCTGAAGAAAAGTAAAAGGATACTCAGCCCCGAATACAAACATATGAGACCAAAGTGTGCGCTTCTAATTTGTGGCACGCCTGTTAGGCGAGAGCGTGGCCTACTCCAACACCATGTTCAACCTAGGCGTCTTTCATTCGGCTGCCAACAATTATGCCGCGGCCTTGCCCGCCTTCACAACGTCGTGGCAAATTCGCTGCAAATTGCTTGGCCCGACACATATCATGGCCACCCGCAGCCGCACCTCGCAGATTGGTGTGCTTGTTCATCTGGGCCAACACGAAGAGGTGCGCTTGGAGGCCGCCCCACACATATTTTTGTGCCTCTTGCACTAGCGCCATTCCCCCATCCCCCCTCTTTTTTGCGAGGGGCACGATTGTTGATTTTGTCGACGATTTTGCCATTCGTGCCTGGGTGCTGCTTAGGCATACGCCATGGCTCTGGATTTGTGGCCCGTGGCTGGCCGACAAGATCTCTCTGATCGCAGCATCGCATACGACACGGCTGTGCTGTGTGCCAATGCCGCTATTGCAGCGCACCATGTGAATCAACCTCAGAGGGTACGGCATGACTCATGGTTCATCTGCTTGCTTTGCCGAGTAAGCTGCGAACCCGTGGACTTCTCACGTCTTCCCTTCCCTTTGCTTTGCCTTTTTAAAACCTTGGTTGTGCAGCGCGACGAGTGGCGTTTGCGTGCGGAGCAAATTTACAAGGATATCCCCGAGAATGAAATTAGCCTGCGCTACATGCGAGCGCAGTTGGCGCAAAACCGTACGTTCCTGCAACCCTAGGTAGTAATGTCCAAGATGCGCACCTGGCTGACTTTGTAATGCTGCTCCAGTGGCTGACACCTTTTTTGAGCTGGGACAATTCAAGCTGGCTATTGATTTTCTCGTCAATGCCCGTCAACTGTTTGTTGAGGTATGCTTGTTATCCCACGTGGGATGTTCGTAAGGCGCGCTCCTTGCGCTGGCCCGTGTTTTGCTCATGTCGGGACTTGTGGGGGCGTGGTATGTCTTCAGCATCTGCCCGCTGGGCATCCGCGACCAGAGCGTTGCACTGCGCTCATTCAGAAGGTACGTGTCACTGCGTGACATTTGTTTTGAGAGCAGACCGCATCGCCCTGCACACTCCTGATGAAATACCTGTGGCCGCACCGCACAGTATGAGGCAGCTATGGCTGAAGCGCGCAAGGCTGCGGAGGCTACACCGGTGGTTCCAGCGAAGCCCGTGTCTGATGCTTCCGAGGCATAACCATGGCGCTTAGGCGCTGGTGCGAGATGTAGCTCTAGATTATCACGTGCGAAGCTAAATTGCGTACAAAGTTTTGCATCTAGCAGAGTCGGCTTGGATGCGATCGGCTGGTTGCAGCTGTAGCTTTGGGCGCAGGAGGCCACTAATGAACAAAAATCGACCTGTTGTTGAAATGGCGTTCCTATGGCTCGTCATGAAGCCTGGTTCACGTTTGGTTCAGGTCTTGTTATTATTTGAAGCGATAAAGCAGACAGACGTTTTGCTCGATTGTTAGATGGGCACTGCAATGCACTTTGGCGTCTACCGAAGCTGCTGTTTTACAAAGTTTAGCGCGTTGGCACAATTGGGCTTGCCTGGGGCGAGCTGCAACATGAAGCGTTGGGTTAAACAGTGTGAGGAGTGCGCTGTGGTTGCCATTCATCTAGCGCGAGGGTGCGCCTTTGCACAGACCTTGAGGCACCGTTCCAGGAAAGGCACGGCCTCGGCGTATCGACCCAGGTTCTTAAGACCCGTGCCAATGTTGAGATTGAGAATGGTTGGGTCCTGACCCAAAATGGGCCGCCTACAAGTTGACCGAGCGTTGCGAGGCAGCAGCCATGTTAGAGGCACTGCGTAGTGGCCCAGCTGCACGAGGACGCGCGCTTCAGTTGGTGACATACTGGTTCCAAGCGTCCAATCCGGCCTTCCAGATTTCCACTGCCTCCTCTAGCTTGCCTTGATTAGCAAGCAAAACGCCTAGATTGATGTAGGCAGAACCTGGGCAAGAGAAGCGACGGCGTTCATGTTCGTTAACAATACATCAACATGGGGCGGGTCGGTCTGCACAGAAGAAGGAGAATGTGTCGAGAACGCGGGCTTGGGTCGCGCGGCGGGACAGATGGCTGACCAACCATAGTACTTATACTGGCGAATGGCGACGCGATAGTGGTATTCCCGATCTGCGTCACGACCCTGCAAGCTACGCGCGTAGTTGTGGTGCAGTTTGGCGTTGTTGGGCAACACCTGTCCAGCCGAAATCGTGCCATCATCGATGAGTTGACAGATGGGTTCACTCTCCAAACGGCATTGCCACCATTGGAGGCAAGACGGAGAGGCAAAGGGAAGAAAGAAAGACAGAAGAAAGATTATAGCAAATGGACATTGGGCAGAGGCTCAAACGCACGGCGAGGCCAGTCTTGTAGAGCGACTCTTCGCTCTCCCAATCGACATTGCGGAGGCAGGTGCGGACTCCAAACAGGACGAGTAGAATCAAGGCCAAAGCCACCAGCACACGGCTATACAAAGAGACAGCAAGAAAAATGCATCGACGCGGGTCAGAGGTGAGATCAAGACTTTGGGGCACATCTCCAGTGTCAAGGAGGAAGACACGCACCGGCCATGGGTGCCAGCCTCGGCAAAAAGAGCAAAGAAAATGCCAGCAGCGGCCAAGCAATATCCGATACTAGGCAGATAGAGGATGCGCTCGGCAATGACAAACCCAGTCTGGATGTACCGTGTCGGCGCGCGTGTTAGCAGGTGCCACGGGGTTGAAGAAGGGAGTAACAACGTGGTAGAATGGGCGTTCTAAGCATACCTCAACCAAGAGGCCGCTCGCGGGCACAAAGTTGATGGCCATCATGGCCAGGCCCAGGAGAATGGCGTGACGAACTCCGCGGCTGGCAACTTTGCTGAGCAAGAGCGCAAAGCCGGCCGTCACCTGTCATTCCATTGGATTAGCAGGCCCGTTGGCAAGTGAGAGGTGGAAGGAGCACGGCTTCACTGAGGTCTGCAGAGGACCAGCTTGACCGGTGCGCACCAGGACAAGATACATGGCGGCAGTGCTGAGATTGCGATGATCACTAAGGGCTGCGATGTTGTCGATGCCAAAGCTGGACCAGTCGCAGCAGAGATCCCAGGGAACCAACAACAGCCAAAAGTGCAGAAACACATAATAGTTTTTGGTCAGCCATCGCAAAAGCGTATCTGACAGCATTGAGAGAGGAGTGTAGGCCAGAAGCGGGGAGGAGAGGGATGAGCGTGCGGCGACTGAGACGGCACGGGCGTTGGATGAAGCTCCAAACATCGCCGCAGATTCTCGGTGCAATGTCATCAACACGGGACACGGACCATCAATGTGGTTTGCAGGGTTGGTTTTCTCATCGTTCTTGACGTCGTCGCCCTTATTGAGGCTGACACGCCATTGGTAGAGGAGGACGGTGAGCACCAACACCACCACCTACGTGACAAAAGGAAACAAGCCAAAAAATGTGTTATGTGTACGGGGTGAGGGGGTGGGCGGTCAATCGTGGCAACCAATGCGCTTGAAGATCAGGGCCATGCTATAAGGTGAACGTACACAGCGGACGAGGCAGGCAGTCGTGGGCAGGGAAAGATTGTGGGAAGCACGGGCGGTGGCTTTGGCGGATCGAGCCTTGGCGGAGGTGTTGGCTGAAGGTCGATCGGCCTTGCGCTGAACGCGTCGCCGGAGCGTGTCTGCAGCTGGGTTCGGTGGAACTTTGGCATCGGCAGCCTTGTGGGTAGGAGCCGCGGTCGAGGCATGCGGCTCGGGAAGAGGGGAGGGCAGAAAAGAATCAAGGACATGCGAGAGGTCAAGGCCGTTGCGATCGACGACCAGGAGGTCGTAAACAATGCAGCAAGGCAGGACCATGATGCCCTGCTCTTTGCACAGCATGGAGATGGCTAGCAGGCGGAGTCAACTATGAGGTTTGACCAGTGGCGGGAGAAGAGGCCGGGTGGTGTGGCGCGCGCGCGTAAAAAAAAAAAAAAAAAAAGGTGGTGGAACGTACTGGCAAAAACGGCAGCACCGCAGATGTAAACGATGCCGTTGCCAATTTTGGATTGACGGCAGGCATGGTCGTAGGTCAGAAAAGCCCAGCAGTAGAAAATGCCAGAGAGCAACTCAGCGCGGCAGACAATGTTGGCGACGGCTTCGGCATGAACGGGGTGAACGGCGAAGAGGAGCGCAGCCAAGGCAGCGGCATGGTGCTGGTAGGCACCGACCGATTGGAAGCAGCGGGCACCCACGAGAGCCACCAAACTCGTGGCCAAGGCGTGTAACAGCATGTTGATGACATGGTAGCTGACGAGAGTCGGGGCATGCATGAGAAGAGAGTCGGGGCATGCATGAGAAGAGAGTCGTTGCTGTCGCTGAAAGCACACGGGGACAGCGGGACAGGCAAGTCGCACCCGAAGGGTTCATAACCATGGAGGATGAAGTTTGCACGGAAAGTCAGGGTGGTGAAAGGGCGGTAGGAGAGATGTGACGACCACTGGGAGCCCATGGGTTGGCCTGGAGGGTGCGTACGCAGAGAGGTAGCATGAGCGTACGGAGCCGGGGGCAGAGGCACACCAGTGCCATCTGAAACTGGATCCAGGGGCGCCTGACAAGGAAGAGTCATTGGGCTTACCCCAGAAGTTGGAGCTGAAGACATGACTCCAGCTCGTTTGGGCGGGGTCGACATCGGCGTTCTCCTTGATGGCTGAAGATCAAGCCACGCGGATGAGCAGAGCAGGAGGCGAGGGGCGTGTCTGCCTACGATCCGAGGGCTCAAGAGGACCAAGCTGCCTGATGGGAGTGAGCGCGCACCTGGCATGTCGTCAAAGACAAAGGCACCGTGCAGGCTATTCAAATACACCAGCACAGCCACAGCCGCCTAGACGTCCAAGGACACCAGAGATGAGGTGTGCACAGGGGGGCGAGCGAGCGGGGAGGGGGCGTTTCAGGCCACTGGCCGTGGACATACCGCAACGGCAGGGTACCACCGCTCCATGACGGCCATGACCCTGGCTGGATCCCTGCCTGATCCAGTCACTATCAGGGGATTGTCGGGGTATCCAAGGCGCCTTGAGCTTGAAGAAGGAGGAGGAAGGAGGAGGAGGAGGAGGGAGGAGGAGGAGGAAGGAGGGAGGCGGCGAGACTGGTCCCTGTGTATAAATTCTGACACCTTCTCCTCTTTCTCTACATGTGGTAGTTGTGTTTCTCTCTCTTTCTCTCTCTCTCTTTCTTGTAGTCTTTTCACCACACGTGATTGAACTTTTTTTCTTGCTCTGTGTGTGTGTGTGTGTGTGTGTGTGTGTGTGTGTGTGTGTGTGTGTGTGTGTGTGTGTGTGTGTGTGTGTGTGTAAAGGGCTGGTTTTGCTGGCTGTGTCCCCCTGCCTGCCCTCTGTAGTGTATGTCCCTCCCGCTCTCCTCCCGCTCTCCTTCTGCCTCTCTCTGGTTTGTCTTGCACGGGTTTTTGGTCTTGAAAGAGAGCCGAAACCCATTTCTCCTGTAAGAGCCGTTACGTTTTCTTCTCGAAACATCGTGACAAAGACTCAAACCTCCACTGGCTGTCGACACTAAGGGGTGCCCCGTGACTGCTTGTGATGATCAATGGGCTCGACGGCGGGGGCGAGTCAAGTCGTCCTGGCCTGATTTGTGACAAGGAGCGGCTGGTCGGTGCTCAAGGAGATGGGGTGACAAAAGGGTCGCAGCCCAAACAATAGACTTGATAGTCGATTTATGGCAAAACCAACCACCCAGTCAACCCAGCGTGGCCAAGAATCATACGATCCTGCTTTCTCTGGGATTCGAATTCGAGTACTCGGTGCGAGCACAGCTCGCTCATGACCATTATTCCAGCGGGGCCAGAATGACAGTCTTGCATTGACAGCTTAAAGATGGCAGGGCAGCACCACGGCAAAAGGACCCCCAACACGTGCATCAGAGCGTAGCAACAGGCGCCGTGCTCTCCTGCAGGCAACGTTGCAGCAGAGGCAACTTATCATCACTGAACCCGACCGCCTGTCATGCAAACGGCATCAAAAGACCGTGAGCGAGCGTAACAAACGCGTCAGAGCGCCTTGGAGCGCAGCGGCCCACCAAATGGGTGGATTCGTTTACAGCTCTGGTGACACCGAGCTGAACAAGCAAAGGCGCGCATCCATACCTGGCGTAGCTTGTCCAGGTCATCTGCGCAGTGCATGAGGAGGAGTTCATCAATGCCTTCACCATCGGTGGTTAAATTGTCCTCTTCAGTCGTAGTATCCATGTCCCCAGCGGCAGCCTCTGGCTGGTTGGTCATCGGGGCCACGAGTTGCTTGTCTGCGGCATCAAAGGCGCGCTGAGTGTGCTCTGACACCAAGTGCCAGAGACCAAAGTCCTCATATTGTTGCTCCAGCAGGGCTGCCGGTGTTGCTTGCACCATCTGCATTCAAAACGCCAGTCTTGAGGAATGCGTGGCTGCTGCAACAAATACGCGTGCGGATGGTGTGGGCGATGATGGCAAGGCAAACAGGCCTGACCTGCATCAAGGCTGCAATGTCGAGACGCGATGGTGCCCGATTGCGACGCTGCGACGCTGCGTCTAAGTATGGGTCAGCGCCGTTGTTTGTGGGGGCAGCCGGTCAAAGGACGGTCAAAGGAGAGAAACGGGCCATGTGGGTCGTCCAAGCACATACCAACTTGACCGCGCACGCGGAGGGCCGAGGCCATGAGCTGAACCAGCCGCACGTTGAGATTGGCAATACGGTTTTGAATCCTGTGGCCAGAATAAACAGGGTCAGTTTGGCTTGACTCGTTACCGAGGGTCGAATCAAGGAGAGCGCAAGCTAGCTGGTTGATCGTACTCTTCAGCGCCCTCCTCGGCGGCCTCGAGCTCGCTAACTGGCAGCGGATCATGGGCAAACACATCCAATGCACTAGACGGGCAACGGGCCAGGCAAACAGCCAATCGCATCAGAACCAGCCCTTTGTTTTACAGATCGTGCCCAAAAAAAAAAAGAAAAAAAAAAAAAGGGAAGAGTCGGAACCGGCCCTCGTTCTTTACCTGATGCCGGAGGGGGCTGGAAACATGCCTTGGACGCCCAAAGTCGTTGCCAGGCCACCGCACTCTTGAAGAAGAGCCTGGACGTGTGTGTCTACATGTCGACATCAGACGCAGTTTCACACTGCCGTGAGTTGACCCACCCCCCCAACTTCGGCCACCGCCCAGCACTTGATCGCGTGTGCACACACACCTTGGGCCATAATAATTCGTGGATGCTGCTCGACTGTCCCAAAAGCAGGAAAAGAGGGGGAAGCGGTGGACACAATGCAAAGGCAACTGCTATCCCAGCACCGCACGCAGTGCTCACGTCTCACGGGCAGATGGACGCCTGCGGTCTGAAGCAGCGCGCTGCCCTCTCGTCGGTCGTGTCGACAGAGAGAGACAGAGAGAGACAGAGAGAGCGAGAGAGAGAGAAGTGCTGTCAGCTCGTGGCCAGCAAAACAGTTGATGACAACAGGTACAACAGGCCTTTACAACAGAAATCACACGGACCTTGGGTTTTGACTTTTTGCTCCTCTTATCTATACTGCTTGGCCTTGGATGGATTGTCAGACAAACGCCAGCGTGCTAAATTGTCAGCACTTTCTCGCACGGAAGACGATGGACCAACGTCGCGGCGGCGGTGGCGGCGGTGGCGGCGCGGCAGCGGTGGGGGAGACGGAGGAGGGATTGAAGGGGCTGGGGGTGGAATTGGAGGTGGATTTGGAGGAATTGGAGGGGATGGTATCGCCGAGGCGGTCGCCGTTGCCGCCGGGTGGACATCTGCACACGCTAGCACCTGCATTTCAAGTCGACGGCGACGAACGGGACTTGCTGAGCCGCTACTCGGAAGACAACGACGCCAACTCTGGCCACAATGTCGCCGAGCTTTGGTCCCCTCAGCTGGCCGCACAGCTTGCGCAGGACGCTGATACTGTCTCTGATCAAGGTGCGCTGGCTCTGCTGCAGCTGTAACCCCCAGTTTCATGGCTGGATCCTTTTTTCTTTTTCACACACTTCTTGTATTGCAGGCGACGGCGGAGGCCACGTGTGCCCCGAGCCAAAATGTGGCAAGGTCAGGCCGGCGTCTTGTCCAAGCGCGGCGAGCATCAATGCCCTCGTGATGATGGGTTCTTTTTTGTACTCATAAGCGCTGCACGGCGTGTGCCCCATCTTTTTAGGTTTTGCCCACCCGCCACAGCCTGCGGCGGCATATGAAGTCCCATCGCAACGAGCGCTCCCACTTGTGTGTGCCTGCTTGTGGGGACCTTTGCTGCGTGTTTCTGAACCCGGACCCTACAACTGCATTGCCGGCCATTCTTGACTAGTTTCATTGCGTTGTGTAGTTGCGAGGTGTGCCAAGCTGGATTCATACACAAGCATCATCTTAAACGTCACATGAAGCAGCATGAGGAGCCGGTTTACGCCGTGAGTGGGTCTGCATGTTTGTAACACTTTTTTTCATCTCTGGCCCAGACCCCAGCCCAGCTCATGTCGCGTTGTCCTTCATGGTCGCGCGCCGTGCTGGGCAGTGCGAAGTTGTAGGCTGCACCGAGGCATTCCGGACCCGGCGTCAACTGGACAAGCATGTCAAGCAGCTTCACAGTGATGAAGCTGCTGCCTTATCGTGAGTTGCATGTTTTGTACTTGGCCCCACGTGCGCAGGGACTGCGTGGAGAGGACTCCCACAGCGGGACGCTCCTTGAGCGCGCCGGCCTGAGACGCCGACGCGACCTCTTTTTGTCAGAATTTGTGCCTTGCACTCATCGGGCCAATCCCTACCCCTCACTGTCCACAGCTTTGCCTGCAGCATCAAGGGCTGTGGACAGCGGTTTGCGACTGCAGGTGCCTTACACCGCCATATGGCGCGGCACGATAACAGCCGATTTTGCCAGACGTGTGGTCTCAGCTTTCCCAATCAACACGCCTATACCCAACATTGTCGCAACGAGCATGTTCCTTGTACTTGTGACCTCTGCGGCCGGGTACGTTGTCCGGCACAGCTGTGTGGCGCCGCCAGTACCCAGTCAAGCTCAGGGGGGCGAACTTACTCTGATTGCCGCCCTTGCGCCGGCCTCTTTCAGACGTACTCTACTCTGGCGCACTTGCGTGAGCACAATGCCAACTATCATGCTGCCGTTGGCGTAGTGCAGCAGTGTATGTTTAAAGACTGCACCAAGGTGAGGTCACAGTCTGGCCCTTGTGCTCGCGAACTTGAGCGTTTTGGGCAGAACCGTGACGCAGCGCCATGGTTTCGACGGCTCCCACGCAGGTGTTCTTGTCCGAGGAGTCGTTGCGTGTGCACGTGCGTACCGCGCATAACACGGCCAAACCCTACGTGTGCGAGGTCTGCCAGGCAGCTTACGCTCACAAGGTGGGTCGCGATGCTGCTGCCAGCCCCATCCGCACTAGCTGTGGCGGATACCCTCACAGCATTCTTTGCTTTGGCCATTCTTTAAGTCGACCTTGCGAAAGCACAGGCGCCAAAAGCACAATCTCAAAGGCCATCCGCAACAAGCCTATCTTATTCCGTCCACTGCTGAGCTACCAGCCCTCGACAAGGTATCGCGACAGCAGTCTCAACAACAACAGCAAGAACAACAACAGCAGCTTGAGCCATCGCAATTGCGAGAGGGGCAACGGAGCCAGTCAGATCCCAATGCCTCCTCGCGGCTCACTTATGGCCAGACTTTATCGCTGGATTTGCCATCAGCGACCATGGCCCCCCAGGACCTGTTTGGGTCCTCTTTGGCAACCATCCCCTTTTTCGAACGAGGGGCAGTGGGCCGCGTCGCGCCGACCTATGCCACCCTTAAACGGCAATCTCATGCTGAGCAGCCTGTTGATGATTGGCTCGCAAGTGCCCCCAAGCGGGCACACACTGGTGCTTCCGACCATGATGAAACCGAGACGATGATCCACCTGCCCGGCCTCCTGACATGAACATTGTGCCTAAAAATCGATAGTCTTCCTGCTTTGCAACATGTATATAACACCTCCCTTCAACAATAGCGCTTTCCAGTCACACTTGTAGCACACAAAATGCACAGCAAAAAACATGAAGAGGGCTCATGCCAAAAAGAGATGGAAATAATGAAGGATGATAGTAGATTCAAACGTCAGGGAGCAAACGCGTTTACTTCTCATCAGCCTTCTTCTCATCGGCCTTCTTCTGCTGCTTGCCAGCTGACTTGGCAATACCGCGCGCTTGGCGCATCTCGCGGTACACGTGAGCCTTCTTCTCGTCAGCGGTGATGGCACGGGTCTCAACGGCAACGGCCGACTTGACAACGGGCATGACAACACCCTTGAGCTGCTCAACGGGCTCAGACTTGTCACCCTTGATAACAACGAGCTTGCTCATGTACTCCTGCAGACGCTGGACGTTAGCCATGAGAGCATCGCTGTCCTTGTTGCGGCGGCGGGCATCGACGGCAATGCCGATGGAGCGGGCATAGCGGGTGGCAATGCCAGCGGCCTTCAGCTCATCGAGAGTGAAGCCACGGCCAAGACGCTGCTTGGTGTTGTACTTGAAGGTGGGGCAGCGCACAACGGGGCGGAGGTCACCGCCGGTGGGGCGGGGAGCGACCTTCTTGGCCTTCTACACACATTGACATTCCCCAGCAAGAACAAACAGCAAAGGGGGTGCATGATGAGAACAAGCATGGCGCAAAGACAGCGAAACTTGCCCCGATCGCCAGCAAATCGTGCCGAGCCGCAAGAAAATGAACCGGCGTCAGGGAAAGACACAGCCCGAGAACGTGCAGCAGAGCCGTTTCTCATCTCGCACTCTCAACGTCTCAAGTCAGAGAGAGCGCTGATGAAGAAGACTGGGAGAGAAACACGAGTGTTGATGCTCGCAGCAGCTCAGGATGCACGCCCTGGGCTGCGTAATTCCGAGCCGGACACTAGCCTGCACTTGCGGCTCGGCAACGACGCTTCGGGAGCAAATGATCAAACAATTCCTCCATGATATGTGTATCTAAAATTTGAATCGGAGCGAGTAACGCACAGCCTGGCGGGCCAAGTAACGACGCTTCTTGGCGCCGGCCTGGTCGAAGTGGCAACGGACGAGACCGCGCTCCGACCAGATGGCGTTGTGCCAGTGCTTCCGGAAGTGAGCGTTGGGCAAAACGTTGTTGTGGCCCTTCGTCATAATGCCTGTGATACCAAAAAAGAAGATGCGGGGATGATGATGCGGTGAGCGCTGCCACGATTCAACGGCGAGCTCGTGTCTCAGCCTCGAAACAACAAAGGACCAGGGTCACGATGGTTTGTATGCACATGGGGGGCGCAAACAGGGCCGCGGCAGCCGGGTTCGGTCCCAACATGGTCAGCCATTGACACGAATTCAACTGCCCCATTGCATGACCATGCACACAACCCCGTGTCTTGGCTGCCAAAACTCTCAAGTCGCGACGCGGGTCGAGGACGACCGCGCTCAATCGAGGGCCACGCACCGGTGAGGGAGAAAAAAGTGACAATGACAGGTTCAAACTTCAACTGATCATGTGTGTTGAAACACCTGTTGACAACACCACGCGGCAAGCGCTTCATTTTTTCCCCACACCCAAATGTCAGATGAAACCTCGAAACTTACATCTGGATGTAAGAAAAAGTACCGTGTGTGTGTGTGTGGGGGGGGGGGGGGCGGGGGCAAGTGTCATTGACTTTGGGAGGCAGCGGGTGGAATGCACAAGGGCAGCTTCAATTAGGTAGGGACAATAGCTTTTCTTCTTTTTTAAAAAAAAAATAGGGCAAGGTCGAGGTTAACATGATGATACGCTTGCCCAAGGTGGCGAGCGGCGGGTCTCCCTCCCCCATGTCCTTATGCTCGATGTTCGGGAAAGAGGCGGTCGAGCGGATTGAAGCTGCTATGGGTACCGCCCAGCAGCTCTTGGCTCAAGGCAGCCACTTTGGGTCAACGGCAGAGGGCAACGATGGCACAAAAAAAAAAACGAAACAGCCCAAGCGTGAGAATTTACATGTTAATATAGCTTGCAGATAGTATCAACACTATTGCAGCAGTATCGCCCTCTCGTTCCTGGCACGATACGTCAACTGTACATACATTGGGGCAGTGCTGAGCGGTGCTGGACCTGACGCAGCATGGCCAAGAGAAAGCGCTGGCATTCTATCCAGGCTGATTCCAGCTGCTCAAACGTCTGATGCCTGGGCTCAAACAGCGGCCGTTGCACATCGAGGTGAGACAGAGGGGTAGCACGTGGGATAGCATGGGTGGTGGCGTTATCAGAGGCTTGCGTGCCACTGACGTGATTGGTCCCTCAGCACGAAGTTGCTGTCGACCCAAAGATAAATGCAACCACAGCTCACGGAGTTCAAGCGCCAGACGGAACGTCTTGCGCACGACCTGGCGAATCATCTCCGCCTACCATATGAAATCAAACAAGCATGGGCCAACATCGTCAGATGGATGGTCCAGCAAGCACGAACAACTGCTGGCATCGCGAGTCTTTTTGAGGTGCATCGATACGAACCCGTTCGTGCAGCAGACACTTGCTGGCGATGGTTTGCAGTCGTTGAAGATGTAGTTTGCGTACATTTGCAACAGTCGTACCCTGTGGTAGTGTGTCAAACATGACTCAATCGCTCAAAGCAACCACCACCTGCTGGCATGGCGTGAGTAGCACTGCCACGCACCTGCACATAGCTGTCCAGGCTGGCAAAGTCGTGAATGCGGCCCAGGAAAAATTCTTCCAGAACCCGCAACAGATGCTGCATACGAGCGCGAAGCAGACGAACACGGTGCATGTCCACTCCGCCGCTCCGATGTGCCACCAAATCTGTCATGGCAAACATTGGAAAAAAAAAAGGTTCATGGATTGCGCAGGTGGAACACCCCTTCTCCCTCCAATCTGATTCGTCTTTTTCTTCGGACAAGAATACCAAGGAGTTCCTTTTGCTTGTCGGTCCTTTCCCTTCCACCGCTCCGTACGTCAAGGCATAAAAGTACCTGTTTGCCAGAGAGAGTCTAGCCCCCAACGGGCCCTGAAGAGCTGGAAGCGCCAGCTGAATATTTGCGAATATACCGCCAGCGCCGCGTCATCGAGAATCAACCGCACGGGTGTCGTTGTCTGGCCAAGGGCAAAAAATGAAGGGGAAAAAAGAAACAAAGTTAAGGAAAAAACATAAAAGAGGCAAGGCCAGTGGCAAGAGGCTCTGGGGTTTGCGTTGGCTTGAGGTCCTGCTTAGCTTCGCGAGGTCAGAGCAGTGATGCAACGCGCACCTGGTAAACTAGTCGAAAGCATGTTTCGTCCTCTGGTTGCCACGACACGCGAAGCCTGACGCCCAAGTCGAACGATGTAGCCATGAACCAATGTGCTTGTGAGTTGTGAGGTGCTTTGTGATCGCTACTCAATGCTGAATGCTCAGCGAGTAACATCCTACCTCTCTCCAAGGTCCGATTCTACAAGCTCCAAGGCATCGTGGAGTATCAGCGTCAAGGTGGCAGGAGAAGGGGGGCCGCGGCCACTTTCCAAGTGTTCGCTCAACGTGGACATGAAGCTACTGGTGCATTGCCCTTCCAAGGTGAGGGCAAATGCCTAGTGTCGGTACGCCACGGAAGCAGCCAAGGGAGCGGCATTAGGCATGAACAGGCATTCTGGTCGTGAAAGACTTGGTTGAGGTTGAGGACAACAAGCAGGGGCAGGGCGGGCACCACGAACCTCGAGGCGACGAATGCCTTCCAAAAGGTCGAAGTGATCAAAGAGCAAATCCAGGCCGCGTTGATGAAATTGCCCAGCCATCTTTTGCAAAGAGTCCCGAAGCTGGTGATCCAGCTGCTGCGTCAAAGGTTGCGCGGCGGACGGGCGTTCCGTTGAGATACTGGTCTCGGGTGGTGGGGTGGGGCCTGATGGTATAGTGGTGGACATAGGGTGCCGGGTAGCCGAAGTGCTGCGTCGGGCACGCTCCAAAGCACGCTTGAGCCAGACATCGTCTTCAGCTAGCGGGAATGCAAAGAGGTCCGGCGGGGACGATGATTGCTGCCGTGTGAATGAGGCAAGCGAGATTGGCTGCCCTAAAACAGTTAAAAAAGTGGATGTCGACAGAGTCGGCACCGTGGTCAGCATCTGGGCCAGCGCCGTTTCGCACTCTCGTTGGTTGGTTTGCTGGCGCAAAGGGTACGAAAGCAGGCAAGTGAGCGAGCGTATGCGCCACTAGTCTGTACACGGGTTTGACGCGATCCAGTTCAAGCACAGTCGTAGACATACCACAGCAAGTGTGAGTGTTTTGAGCTCTTGACACTCGCGAAGAATAGCAGCACCCTCCAAGGTTTCCCGGAGCAAAGGCATGCGATGTGCCAGGACATCTGCAGCCGACGCGTCAAGCCCAACGCACAAAAGGCTTGGTGAGCACTGGGGCTTTGCGCGTTGTGCATGGGCTGATCGAGATGCAAACCTGGCAAGGGTTGCCGTAGGTCCAAGTCTGGGGTCACGGGGGCAAAACGCGTCCAAGCATGTGCATCGACCTCCTGACGAGGCAGATGCCAGGGGTAGGCAAGATGGACTGAGAACGCTCGCTTTGTTTGTAGACTGCGCGAAAAACAACATGGAGTCGAGCGATGGTTGGTGTCACAGGTATCTGCGAGGAGGGGAAGAGGCTTACCGTGCCAATGGCGGCAAACAGACCCTCGAGCTGAGGACGCAGCAACTGTGCAAATCATGAAGCATCGGCGTTTGAGCATGATCAAATTTCAAGGCGTGAAGAGACGGCGGGACAATGGGAGCGGTTATGCATACCACATGGACAAAGGCGGCATAGTGGCTGGCAGGCACGGCACGGACGTCACGTGCAGACCGGGTCTTGTTAGTCAGGTGTGGTCGAGGAGATCGGCTCAGAGCGGGTCCAGCTTGTGTGCTGGGGGCGGTGGCGCAGGCTTCAAGCAGGTGATGGCGTTCCAGTCGCAGCATGGCATCATTCAAGGCGCGTACGTGCGCTAGCCAAAGGCTGGGGCAGGATGAGGTGGGGTTATTTTGAGGGACGGCGCGGCAAGACCAGCATGTGGGCACAAGAAGCGAAGCCAGTTCAATGGCAGCATCGAGATGAGAACATACTCATTTGAGTTGGTGGCAGCCAAGACATCAGCCATAAGCGAACGGTGCCAGGTCATCAGGGGCTGTAGGCGACGACAGGCCACGGAGAGAGCTAGCAGCGATGCGCTGGGGGCAGAGGGGGAGGGATGGGTAAGGAGGATGGCATACGGTGTTTGCGCAGGCGGACATCAACGAGAGAGGTAGAGGAAGGGAAAAGAGAAGACAAGCATCATTGAGGTGTGCGAACCAGGAATCAAGACGATCATGAATACAGGCTTCAAGAAGGCGACGCCAGGGCCAGACAAGTTCGGCGCGTCTGCGCGATATAGGGATGGGGCAGATCAAGGTCAGGCAAGGGCAGACGAAGAGCGTGCGTCAACCGAGAGCGTTTGTGGTCACATCGGACAAAGGTGCCAGGAAGGAGCCGGCTCACTCTTTTAGGGAGGTTGTTGAGAGATCGTGCCACACGGCGCAAATGTCGGCCAGGGCGACGATAGGGGCCACCAGGTTCTGGCGGACAGCAAGCAGCGGTGAGGACGACCTGCAACTGGGCGCGAGGTACCGGATGCGAGCGATGGGGAAGAGGCAGGAAGCAACGGCAGCACATGTATGGAGGCATCTCATTCAGACCTGGACGGCAGATGGGGAGAGGGAAGTAAGAGAAATGGCGGAGCGTAGCCGGGTGCGTGCATCCGGGGCTCGTTCAAAAAAGTCCGGGTCACGTCGGCCATGCACAAGCTGCATGCAGGCATGTAGCAAATGTGGCGCTACGGGGAGAGAAAGGGAGAGGGAGAGGGCGTGGAGTAGTGGGGACACAGAAAACGTGAGGCAACCATTCGAGCGGCAGGGTCAGTGTCGTCGCATGCAAAATGGTCTGTCACACCTGTGACCACGGTGCGTTGCGGCCCGACCGTCCCGGCCATGGATGCGCGGTGATGCACGCGTTGGTGCCACTCGGGCGCTTGCGCTGTCAGTGACGAGGGATAAGGGGTGCCATCGTAGGCGCACGGAGTAAGGGGTGGCAGCGGAATGCCAGGCGCTCTGCAATGAGGCTTACCGAGGGCAGCTGCACCGTCTTGTGAGGTCAGCGGGGAGGGGAAGACGGCTGTGCGCAGGGTCTGAGCTGCGATTTGGTACTGGGACTGGAGCTCGATGGCGGAGAGGGCCGGGTTGGTGTCGGCGGAGCTCACCAGAGCGGGAGAGCAGACGGGTTGTTCCATGGTTTGATCAACTGTGGGGCTTGGTGCGCGGCTCGCCGAGGGCGGGCTCGTGGGTGGGCTGCTGGAGAGCTGGCTGCTAAAGTCGCTAGATTGGTCATAGTCGCAGGCGTAGGCGTCATCACGCGGGCCGAGCACGGCCGCCCAGTCGACCTTGGCTTCCCAGGGGACAAGGCGGACGCGTTCCACGATACCCAAGATGTCACTCTCTGTATCACTGTCGGATTCGCGTCGTGCCTCTGGAGCCGCATCGGCGGCGCGGGCCATGTCGGCAGCACGTTTCGGGCCGGCCGGGTGCTCAGCCATGGCCAGCAGAAAGGCGAGGGCATCATGGTGAAGCTGCGAGTTGGAAGGGTGCAGCTCCGTAGCAGCGTCGGCCGATGCATCGGCACGAGGCTTCAGCTGGCAGCGCCGAAAATTCTGAACGAGAAAGCGCAGGGCCTCGGCGTGATCATGGCGAGCGTGCACCTGCAGCTTGTCCGCCAAATCCCCATAACGGCGAACGACCTGATGCTCGTCCGTGCCCAAAAACTGATGATAGCGAAAGTTGGAGTAGGCAAACTGCAGTGTGGCCTCAAAATTCACCTGATCCGCCTCCCTATCCTTCCGCAATCCAATCAACCGCCCAATCAACTGCTCCAACTCCTCCCCGACCCGCCGCTCCCGCTCCCGCTGGAACCGACTCCCCGCCATCTCTCTCTCCCTCTCTCTCTCTCTGAGAGAAAAAAAAAAAAAAAAAAAAAAAAAACGGTCTCCAGAACTCCTATTTCTCACTGCTTTCGACAGATCGAGACCAGCTTGTCTGACATTTTCTCCTTCCCTTGTCTCTGTCTCTCTACATGTATCCCGTTTTTTAACCATCTCCTCTTCTCTCTCTCTCTGTTACATGTGGTAGTTGTGCTTTTCCTTTGTGTCTTTGCTCTTTATTTCTAACGGACGATACGATCTCTCTCTCTCTCTCCTTTTTTTTTTTTTTTTTTTTTTTTTTNTGGGTTGGACGGTCTCTTCCGTCTTCGTCTCGGTCACCGTTCAATCCATCCAACGATTAGTGGTGGTGGTGGTGGTGGTGGTGGTGGGGATTTAGGGTATTAGGGTACAGCAAGTCAAGTGCTTTTTCAGGGACAGCGCAAACATGGCTGGGCGACACCCACGCCAGGCATTGTTTCCCGACGCGGCGACCTTTGACCAAGCCCGGGTGGCGGCCAGTCAGCGCACTGCCCTGCGCGAGACCATTGAGGAGGTCAAAAATGCATACAGTCGATTGCTGCGCTTGGGCACGGTAAGTTTTGCAAGGGCAGGGAGAATTGCGTGAGCTCGGCGTGGCGCTTCCGCTGAACCCCATGGCGCAAACCGCTTTGTAGACGGAGCTGGGCAACTCCAACATTTACTCCCACACTCAAGCGGCCCAGGAGCCACTGGCGGCCCAGGTGGCCACCGAAGTTTTGGTTCGTCATGGCAAACTTCCTGGGTCCTACCTTGCATTTCCATGGCTGCTCGATGTTGATAGTCCGCAGAGCACTAGCCCCCGGCTCGTGCATCCACGCACTGGCACGCCGCCTTGGCACTCACGTTCACGTGGTTCTTTCTGGTAGACCATGCACGTAGAGCGCCTCTTGCAGTTGAGCGAGATGCTGCACCATCAACGATTGCTCTATGATCTGGCTGCCAACGCTGGGCCTCGAAAGGCGCATGCCCAAGTCTTGCGTGATGAAATCACCAAACTTGAGTCACAGCTCCCCGACGCTGCTCGTGCAGATCTCGATCTCATTCGAAGCCGATTTGATGACTCTGGCGTCAAGACAACCGCACCCCTTACCGCTGCGGAAATGCCCGCCGCCACAAACATCAGCACGGCCGCGCCCGAGCCATCCGAGTCCATGGCCACGGATGGTGATTAAAACTTGTACTTCAGGACGGCGCAAGAGGTGCCCTCGACCAGGATGCCCCGCGCTGGCCTTTTCCCCCACGAAACCCTGTCATCAATAATCAAACTACACGGCCCGAAACGGACATCTATCCCGCCTTGGCTCAACATAATTGACTCGTTCTACTTGCAATCTGTGGCTGGGCGTGTCCCTTCTGAATAAATAACAAGATTCCGAAGCGGTGCGCGCGGGCCAGGATCCGTAGCTTGATGGGCTAAAATTCAGTCCACGCAAAGCGGCCTCAATCACTAAATTTGACATGACAATACTTTTTCTTTTTACTTGATTTTGATGGAGAAAAAGGCGCCTTCAATGGCTCGGTAGCAGCTGCCACGCGCCTTGAGAGGGAGGGAGAGGAAGACCAATAATAAGCACGGTCACCCCGAGTCAACGCAAACAATATTCCATGCGGCTGTTTGCCCCGCTACGGCAGGGCCAGTCGCGGTTTATTGGCTCATGACAAAGTCAGCAAACTCGTCAAGGCTCAGGTTGCCCGAACCGTCACGATCACGGCTGGCAAAAGCGGCCTCGGCCTCCGAAGAGCTCAAGTTGAGCTCCAAGCGCTGGACACCGAGCACAAACTCCTCTTGCGAGAGCTGCTTATCCCCCGAAGTATCCAGCTGCTCAAACACGTCCAAAATCTGATGGAAGGTGATCAGGTCCAGCAACAAAGCCGCAAACTTGTCAAACGTCAAGCTTCCATCAGCACCGGCCGTGTGCTTGTAAGCTCGCACCATGGCCGGCTTGCGGCTCAAGACGGGAAATTTGTTGCTCTACAGACGGGCATGACATCAAGAGCCCACCAGCCAGTTGTGAGCCTAGAGCTGATTGTACCAAGCCCGAGGTAGACCGGGCAGCGTACTCGTTGCGCGCGATCCCTGGCTCCATACGGCAGCCACATACATACCAAATAGCGGTGCAGTTCGCGCATTGAGACGCTGCCATCAGCCGAAGAGTCCACTTTACGCCACATGAGTTTGAGCGACTTCTCCTTGCTAGCGATGCGCTTGATCTGCTCCGTCACGCCACTGTACTTGGACTTGGGTTTGGCATCGCGACGCTTACGTGCCTCGCGTGCCAAACGAGCCCGCTCCGACGCAGAAGCGTCGGCCGCAGAGCGATGCTTACGTGCCATCTCCACCGACGCCTCGGTAAATGTAGTTCGCACATCGTCATCCACGGGGCACGCATGCCGAGCTGCCCAAGCGCAAAATTCATCAAACAAGACCTAATGTTTTCACCATCCACAACCTCGAGTGAGCCAGCACATTTTGGTATTGCAGCCTTGTTTTCATTTTTTTTTTTCCCCCTTTCTCGTGCTGATGAGCGGGTGGATCCGTGCCACGGCAGGCAATGGATCTGATTGCGAGAGTTGAGAACAAGAGCCCGTGGAAAAAAAAAAAAAACGCAGAACAACACGGAACAAACCTCGCCACCGTGGTTGCTGTCCATGCTCTCGAATTCCTGTTCGGCTTCATCAGTGGGGAGATTCAGGCCCAGCTCAGCAAGACCGGCCTGAAATTCTCCAAAGTCAATGCGGTGATCGTGGTCCTTGTCGATCTTGTCAAAAGCCACGGACAGCTTGTTAAAGTAGACAATGTTGCGCAGGAGTGCCGGCAATTCCGGCGCCTCGATCCACTCGTCGCCATCGCCATCCAACAATGTTGTAGCCTTGTAAGCTCTACGCGCGATAGCAACACGCCATGACATCATCGGAACGGGTAACGACTCGAAGGAACCTAACACATGAAAGGCTACTGCAACGGGGTGGCATGACATGACATCTGCGGACACTCTCATCTCACTCACCGCATGAGGGCGCGCTTGTTGTTGAGCACGGGGTAACGCTCCACCTGGGCGAGATTAGGCAAGTGCATGTATGTGAGGAAGAAAAAAACTTTGCGTGCAGCTGAAAGACAACCATATCCGCTTTGCCAACCGGATGATGCACCGTACCACAAACTTGTCCAGCTCGGCCAGAGAAACGATGAGGTTTCCATCATAATCGAGGCATCGCCACACGGCGTGCAGCCGCTTGGGGTCGGCAATGACGGCCTGAAATTCCTTTTCGACCTTGCGAAACTTGCGGGTATGGATGTCGGGCTGGTTGTCGTAGCCCGTGCTCTGACCGGCCTTTTTCTGCTCCTTGACGGCCATCTTGGTCGAGGCCAGGGTGAATTCACTACGAACTTGGTTGCCGACGGGCATGCGGCAGATGGCCGCGAATCGGCAAAACTCGTCAAAGAGAATCTACAAGCCAAAGGCGAGCAAGGCAAATGAGATGCGACGGCGCGGGATGGGAATGGGGAGTTGGCCGCCGCTAGCTCGTGGTGAGCGAAGGGTCAGGAGTAACCCACCTCACCACCGCCGTTGACATCAGCCAGCGCGAATTGGGCTTCGGCTTCGGCTGGCGAAATGTCGAGTTGGGCAGCGGCACAAGCCGCCTTGAACTCGATCAGGCTCAGACGATGATCTCCATCCTTGTCCAGCTGCTCAAACTTGTCGTAGAGCTGCAGATCAGGAAGGCAGTGGGGCAGGTCAATGAAATTAGGCACGCATCAAGCCGAAATCACAACCGAACGACAAGGTCAATCATGTCACTGTTGACATGTCCAGTTCCGCTTCGCGTTGTCACTTGCCATGCAAAAGAAAAGCGCATTGCGCAGCAGGTCTGGGAACTCATGTCGCTCCACCCACTAGAAGAAGAAGGCAAGGCAAGAAAAAAAAAAAAAAGACCGGGGTGAGGGGATGAGTGTAGAATGACGAGACCCGCCCCCGCTACCGCCTTCCGGCCGGGTCAAGCTCGTGACAGGCTGCCTCTGACCTCATCGCCATCGCCATCGACAAGAGTGGTGTACTTGAAGGCGCGCAACAGCGGGCGCTGGTGGGCCAGGGCCGGCATCTCCTGCTGAAAAAACTTGACTGTCTCGGCCAAGCTCACGATGCCATTGCCTACGCCCAGCATCCCACAGGACAGCCATGCCATGTCACAACGAGCGAGGAGCAGCACACGACACGACACGAGCGGCAAAAACACACATACCGTTGTAATCGAGCGCAGACCATAACCGCTTCAACTCGGCAGCATCGCCCACTGCCTCTCCGACCCGCACCTGACAAGCATCCAACGTCGCCATTGTTCCGTCTTTGCCGCTCTGCCCTCTTTTGATCCTTCAGTGGAGTGTCGCACTGCACCAGTCAGTCGCCGAGAAAATAAAAGAAAGACTCTCTCGGTCAGTGGCAGAGGCGGTGCACCGGTGGGGCAGCAAAGTCAGAGGGATGTGTGGAGTGGTGGAATGGGCAGAGTTAACATAGAGGTCAATCCAGAGATTCGGGTGAAGAAGCAGGATGCTCCAGAGAAGAGGAGCAGCCGGCTTGCTGCTGCAACACGTCGATGACGCAACTTGTACACACACGTAAGCACGGATCGGACATGCCGTTGAGAATAGCAATTGTCCACACCACTTCCTGCGCCAGCTGCTACCAAAGGACTTGGTCTGACATTTTCCGCATTACCAAGTGTAAGCGTGCTTCCGCGGCGTTGGTCGCGTGGGTCTATCTCTCTCTCTCGCTCTCTCTCTCTCTCTCTCTCTCTCTCGTGTGTGTGTGCTCGGTGGAAATGGCAGCGCCCGGGGTAGCTGGCTGTGCATTATTGCGAGAGTGCACCAGTGCAATTTTCTGCGACATTGGTGGTGTTCGTGTCGACACTGTTTGTTTAATGCTGGTGCCCCGAGTGACTCCTCATTTTCTGGGTGTGCTCCTATTGGCACCTGTCACAGGTTCAACTCGGGGCGGGTTGTGTCGCCTCTGACCAAGGAAAAAAAAAAAAGAAGACCGTCGTCATGTCGTTCCGTGGTGGTCGTGGCCGTGGTGGTGGTGGCTCCTTCCGTGGCCGTGGTACGTCGCAGCTCTTTTGCTCCACAGCATCCTCGCCCTGCAGACCGTACGACGCAGACATGTGCATCTGATACACACCTCGCCCCTCCCTCCCCTTCTCGCATTGCTCTAGGTCGTGGTCGTGGTGGCTATGCACCCCAGGGTCCTCCGGAACGTGTCGAGAGTGCGTTTGCCGTTGCTCCAGGCTCCTGTCGTACTTGCGCACGTGCTCTTTCAATGTGTCTGGTGCTTGGTCGAACTGCCTCGGCATTCTTTGGAGCTCACCCTTCTTGTCATTTTCCTTGTCATGTGTCAATGTCTCCTGCTCGGCATTTTGCAGTGGTTGGCTCATACATCCAGCCTTGCGAGGGTGATTTGGTCTGCAAGCTTGAAAACCGCAACATCCCTTATTTCAACGCCATGATCTACCTCGAGAACAAGTCAGAGGTCGGCAAGGTCGAAGACGTCTTTGGCACCATCACCGATGTGGTACGCCTGCCGACGTTTTATCCCGATCTAAAACCACGTTAAAAGAGTTGCCCTCCTACCCTGCCTTCAAGTTTCTGACCACGGTCCACTTGGCCATTTTTCTGTGCCTCCTCCTTTTTTTTCTTTTTCTTTTTTTCCTTTCTTTCAACAAATCTTAGCACTTTACCATCAAGCTGTCACCAGGTATCAAGGCTGATGGCTTCAACTCGGACAGCAAATTTTACATTGACCCCTTCAAGTTGCTGCCCATGGACAAGTTCCTGCCTCAGCCTGGCGGTGCCAAGAGCCGTGGCCGCGGCCGTGGTCGCGGTGGTGGCCGCGGCGGTCCCATGAAGCGCGGTGGTTTCGGTGGCCGTGGCGGTAGCTTTGGTGGTGGCCGTGGCGGTAGCTTTGGTGGTGGCCGTGGTGGCCGTGGCGGAAGCTTTGGTGGTCGTGGTGGAGGAGGCTTTGGTGGTCGTGGTGGTGGTAGCTTCCGTGGCCGCGGTGGTGGCGGCTTCCGCGGTGGCCGGTAAACCAGCATGCCATTGATGTTTCGTTGCCACTCCCAGTGCCCACCTTCCTTCTCTCTTTTTTGTCAATTTGTTGTGATGTTTCCGCACGCGGCTTGGCTTGTCATCCAGTAGTTGTGTCTGCGGCGGTGTTCAAGGTCGTATATTTCTGGATCTGACTGCCTTGTGCAGGGATCCCAAGAAGGGCCTGTGTTTTTATTGTCATTGAAGCTTGTTGTCTCTGCCTATATCCACTGCACGCCCCAGCCTTGTGAATGAGACATTCTCGCTCTTTTGGAGGGGGCCTCGTGAGATGAGGGCGGGCTCTCGGACGGAGTCTCGCGAGTCGTTACCATGGTGCCTTTCGTGACTAGCTGTTTGTACCATCTCTTCTCTGTTTTGCTTCGTGTAGCCCTTTGTGTGTCCACCTTTTTGTTTTTTTCTTGGCCCGGTTAGCTCTTCGAGCCTCTCTTGTCTTGTTCTGTGCTCTTGGAGTACGCTGTTTCCCACCGTCTTCAAATCCATTCTCAAAGCCTATCAACCTGACCATGGGCCCGCGTTCAAAGTCAGCCCAAGCTTCTCTTGTCATGTCATTTCACCCAAATCTTCTGACAAACTGACCGTTTCGCAACGCTGGTGCTGATTGCACTTTCCCACACACACACACACACTCTCTCTCTTTAAACCAATTCATATTCTCTCTCTCTCTCTCCCTCTCTCTCCCTCTCTCTCTTTTCACACACACAACTCTCTCTCTCTCTTTTTCTCTCGATCGTCAAGGCGACTCGGGGCGGTGCAGGTGTTGTTGTAACGGCAGCGGGGGAGGGGCCATTACCGCTTGGAGCTGGCGTTATTGTATCAGATGAGTAATATATTGGATTGGTATTGATAACCGAGACCATGGCCAGTGGCAAGTTGGCCGAGTTTGTGGCTTTGTTTCGGCAGCAGACGGGGCTGTCCCCAACAGCTCAGGAGCAGTGGCAGCGCCAATTGGCTCTTTGGACGCTGTTTGGAGGCGCCAAGACGAACGAGTTTATTCTCGTTAACCAGTCGACTGCCGGTCGCGACAAACTCTACCGTGTTCTGCAGTATCTCGCCCGGTCAGTATGCCCCACACTCTTTTTGAAGACGTGCGTTTTGCCAAGGCTTGGCTCATAATAGCTTCGCCTCGTCCCCCATGCATCAGACTTGCTGCTGCTCTGCTTCAACTCTCGTCGACCCCAGCGGGCCTACAGCGCATTCTCTGGATCACTCGCTTCAAGCAGCTTGAATCCCATCTTAGTCTTGGCCGCAAATGTGCGTCTGCTGCCTGTCACCCCTGCCTCCCTGCTGTTTGCGACGCAGCAATGCTCCCCGGTATCTCGCGCCACTCACCACTGCCTTGAATCCGGTAACACTCGATGCTCGTGCAGTGATGCGACTCTTTCGCTCCATCGACTTTGTCCAGATTGCTGAACGTCAATATCATGCCAACAGCAAAGATCGTTTCCTTCAGATAATGGTGCCCTTGGACAACCTCAACAAAGCCCTGCGCATGACCTTTGACCACGTGCAGTGGGCGGCCGGGGTCGGCCTCGTGGGTGCCACCCCCATGGCCGCCAAGGGCTTGGCCAGTCGCCTTGGGCGTTGGGCCAATCTCTTTTGGCTCCTGGGCTTGGTCACTGCCGTAGCAGTCGACGTGTATCGCCTTCAAGGCCTGGCTCTCGCCCAAAAAACAGTGCGACGCCAACTGCGCGAAGGCTGCGCCACCCGCTCGCCGGATGAGCTGCAGCAAGAGGCCAAGCGACTGCGCGCCCAAAGACGCGCCATGCTCTTGGAGCTGGTGCGTGATTTGACAGACCTGCCCGTGCCTGCCTACGGCCTCGATCTCTTGCCTGCCAAGACCGACACAGCGGTTGCCCTGGGTGGCACCATCGCCTCAATCATTGGCCTCTATCAAGTATGGCAAACCCAGCGTGGTGCACCCCCTCCGATCGTGCCGATTGAATGCTTGGAGCATGGAACAATACTCAATTCTTCATGCCCGGGCGCTCATTTTAGGTTTGGACCAAGGAGGTTGCCAAGCAACATGCTGCCTGAGCGGTCACCAAAGGCGAGAAGAGGGTGTGTGCTGAATGCTTGACAAGCCGAGCCGAGCTCTTGATCTCCACCATTTTGCTCTTTGCGAGCCGCGCTCCTGTGTGACGACCTCTGCTTGTCCAATTCCCTGCACTGCTTATTATGACTTGAAACCTTAGCTTCCTGCAGCAAGCCACAATGTTTGATGTTGTTGTGCAACCGACATAGGCACCTTGTCTTGGCTTGCTCGCCTCTCAATTGATTGTGCATTCAGCCCACATGTAGAAAGGAGGACCGATTTTTTTGTTGTGTGTGTTAAAATAATATTACTCACTCAGATCAGATGAATATTCGTTTGTCCCGACTCGCATCCGTTGCGCCAGGCTGCCTTTTTGTCTCACAAGACTGCGCAGAGCATCTCTTTGAGAGATGTCAAGTTGATAACAAGGGATAACACGAGAGAAAAGTAACGGTCTCAATCAGATAGATGATCAAATTCTTGTAAATTGCAAGTGTTGTGCTGACGGAGGAACGGGGCGGCGCTTAGAGCTCGTCCTTGACCTTCTTGCTGAGGCCCGAAGCACGGCTCTTGATGAATTGGGTAAAGTCCTTGAGTTCGCGACCACCCGAGTACTTTTCGGGCTTCTTGCTGTCAGCGGGCACCCAGAAGATTGAAGGATAGCCTGACACGGGCAGGCTGGCCGGAAGGTCGTTGGCCGTGGCATCGATTTTGGCAACGGTGACGCTGTCTTCATCCTTAAACTTGGTGGCAAGCTCGCTAAAGACGGGAGCAAGCTTCTTGCAGTGGCCACACCAGGGCGCATAAGCCTCAATCAGAACGTCCTTGCCAGGTGCGTTCAAAATCTCATCAATGGTCTTGCCAGTGGCCACCACCACATCACCATCGGGTTCGGGGTTGGCTTCTGACTTGACGTGTGACTCGAGCTTATCGGCTTCAAAATCAGCAATGAACTGGCGCATGGCATCCATGCTCCACTCCTCATCCAAACGATACTTGGTCGAGCCCTCGCCCCAGATACCGGCGGCCACGCTAAACTCATCCAGGCCAAGCTGTTGCACGTCCTGAGCAAAGTCGGCCTTGTTGGCCACGGCAATGGTCAAATCTGAAGTCACGTCCTGTGCAACCTTGAGAACGCGGTTGCGAATGTACTTGGCGCGAGATGGGTTCATCTTCACATCGAGATCATAGTACACCACCAAAAGGGGCTTGGAGGCGAAAAAGAAGGGGCGGTGATCTGGGGTCATGATGCCACCAGGAGAAGTGATGGCATCCATGATAAACTCCTTGATCAGCGTGTTTTTGGCCTTGCCGCTGTACACGACGTGACCCTCTTCAAACTTGTTGCTCAGCTTCTGGGGGCGGAAGACAACCACAACATCCTTGCCGTACTGTCCCAAAGCCTTGCTTTGGGTGGTGTGCGCGAAGCGGAAGTTTTCGCGCTCCGCATCTGCCGTCTTGAGGAAGGCGCGTGCCATGCCACTGTCCAGGCTAGAGAACATGCCTGACGTTATCAAGACCCAAACCGAGACAGGCGGTTGGGGGAAGAGTGAGGGATGAGTACAACCAATTGAAGGACGCGCAAGACATGAAGAACCAGATTGGTGGAGCAGGACGTACCAACGACGGAATAGTCGCTGTCACTAACAAAAGCGTTGATATCTTCGGCGGAAGTCAACTCTGCAGATCATTCATCGCAAACATTGGATTTAGATCAAGCCAGCACTTTGGAGGGGAGAAAGAGGGGATAGCAAAAGCCATATCTAACGGCGTTGTCGATGAGGAAGCACTTACGCTTGCTGGAGGGACCAGCTTGCTTCTCCATGTACTTGACAATGCCAGCGGCATCGCGAGGGCCTTGGTAGTCGGCACTGAGTTCACCCTTGCGGAAGATCTAAAAGCGCGCACCTACTCGTGAGATGTGGTGGTTGGGGGGATGGCCATTGGGAGCAAACAAGCAAAGCAAGCAGATGGAGGATACCTTGAGAGTGGGGTAGCCAGTGACGCCAAAACGGGAAGCCAGCGATCCGTGCTCGGTGGCATCAACCGCAGCCAGAGCTACTGGCGTGTCCGACTTTTTCAAGATACCAGCCGCCTTCTCATACTCGGGAGCTGACGTGGATCCACCCAACAAAGGAAGCGTGAGTTGACGTGGCAGACAAAGATGACGGTGACGACCAAAAAAAAAAAAAAAAAAGGAAAAAAGGAAGAAGGATGGATGCAAAAATGCAGACATACCCAGACGCTTGCAGTGACCGCCTACAAAGATACGATGATCGATGCATGGACATGGACAAGACATGGAAAGAAAGGGTTGGCCCGATCAGAGATGGGGGGTGAGATGCGGCCAGGTATAGCTTTTAGCTCAAGACTGCTCGAATCCCAAAGGGAGGAAGCAACAACAACACAAGCCGCTCAAGCAGCCCGCACCAAGTTCCAACTCAACTTACACCAAGGGGCAAAGAATTCTGCCAGGGGGAGGGATCGACCAGGCAAGCAAGCCAAACAACAACCAGTGAGAGAGCAGCCATTGAAATTCAAAGCCCGGTCCAGTGCCATCCGGGAGTACGGCGACACGTGGCAGCGTACCAACGACAGCCAGGTCATGCTGTTTGAGGGTCGACTCAAAGTTGCTCTCCGTGAGCGTAATCACATCTTCAGCAGCCGCCAGGGCCACCAGCAGGGCCAAGCCCAGCACCAACACCGCCTTCATCATGGCAGCCAGCTCAAAGGGGAAATCCGCACCAGCTTCGCCCACTGAACACTTTCGTCGACAAATCAACAACAGAAAACGTGAGAGAGCGCACACGAATGTTCCATCACCTTCCATTGGCTTCTCTCTCACTATCTCTCTCGCTGTTGTCATCAGATTCTTCTTCTTCACGGTCGATGTCAGATAAAACAAATGGTTCGATTTATTACAAGCGAAAAGGGGTGATAAACTGTTTCAAACTTATTCAGAATTCATATTCAAAGCTTTGGCGGGAAAGTTCAAATGGCTGCCGTTTTCTCATTTGACCTCGGTCAATTGCTGCTTCCAGCCACATTTACATTTCCTGTTGGCTTGATCGTGTGTACTTGCTCGCTTGTCAGGTGGGGCGCGCGCATCTCTGGCCACCACAGGCTCATTCCTGTCCGACCCAGCTCTCGTTGCATTGAGGTACGCCAAGGCATCGCATGAGCGTCGGTGGGCCGTCATGTGCAGAACGACACACACAGACCTCGACATTTGCCCCCTCGCTTGTCTCTCCTTTTTGAATGAAGCGTCTCTTCCTCACCCTGCTCCGTTTACCGCTCCTGACGTTGGGCAGCATCACTTTCGAGATGGCAGGCTCGGCGGTTGACCTCGCTTATGAGTTTGACGCCAAGAAGTTTGTCGATTTTACCGACCCCGCATTCATCAGTGGTACCGATGGCCCCACCGAACCCGAGCTCAACAACTGGTTTGGTACGTGTGGGGGTTCTTGCATCTTCTTGTCTGTGCCTCGAGCACTTGTTGCAGCGTTGCGTCCCCTCGCCAAGTGCTTGTCTGTCCGTATGCGTGAGCCTGTGCACCCGCGTGGGCGCGTGCTGCCCAAGAGCGACGCTTGGGCTTCACGTTTGTCGCCAACGATGGTCGTTGTCGCAGCGCCTCATCACCTGCTTTCATCTGGCCATCCCAAACAACAGCAAACCGACGCTCCATCTCCCATCGCCCGGCGGGCGAGAGCTTGATCGAAGAGGACGAGCCGGCAAAAGAAAATGAACAAGAGTCAGAGAATAGCATGGTCGCTGATGGTGACACATCTATCGCGTCCAGCTCGGCCAGCCGACCCGTCTCTGCTGCCTCCACTAGCCACGAGTCACTGCTTGATGCCGCCCCTGAGGTGACAGCACCCGAGGCACCACAACAATCAAACCAGGACCAAACGGCCGATGTCTTGCCCGCCCACGACGACGGCGCCCAACCCCCTAAAAAGAGCAAGCCCCGCAATCTGCGTGGTGCTTGGTCCTCCAAGAGCAACAAGGCCACGACAAAGCCAGAAGCAGCTCCCGCCCCAACCAAGACGCGCTCGGGTAGCGCGAAACGCAAGGCCGCAGCTTCGGGTGCCAAAAAGGCACTGACCGCCTCCGTGTCCTCCTCGTCTGTGCGCCAGACTCGCAGCAGCTCCCTGCGCAGGAAAAAGGTGTCCTCTACCGAAGCCGAGGCCCCAGCCCCCACCAAGTCGCGCGTGGCTAGGTAAGCCGTATTCATCGAACAAGGTTTTGGCCTCGTCGCTTTGAGCCATCTGTCCCACATCACATTTTTTAATGGTTGTTTTTATCTTCTCCACTTCCGCCCCTTAGCGTCCGCCGCAAGGTCATGTCGGCGCTCTCGTCATCGTCCTCGCGCCGCCCAAAAAGTGCGGCCTCATCTGCAGCCCCAGCCTCTTCATCCTCGGAGGAGCGAGAACTCAAAACGATTGCCGCCGCCCGCAAAAGCTTCAAGCGTCTCAAAGAAAAGACCAAAAAGTCCTTCAAAGCACTCAGCAAGTCCAAGAGCGCCGCCATCACAAGCGCTGCCGCCTCATCAGCAGCTCTCTCCGAGCGACCCCTCACCGTGCCTGAGCCCTTTGACTTCAAGACCGATCGCCGCCTGGGTCCGCATCGCAGCCACTCCATGCGCCTGCGTAGTGAAACCACCACCCGCCGCGCTGGCATTGATACCACGGCTAGCGTGACCAAGCCCGAACCCTTCAAGTTGAGCCACGCTCAAAGTGTCAAGAAGAGCTTGGACGCAGAGTCAGCCGAGCCCTTCGTACCTTTGGCTGCTCAAATTGAGCAATATCAGCGTGCCACCCCCCAGCGCTTCCGCAAACGCGCACACAATGATAGTCAGTACCGGCCCCAGCCCACCGAGGGCCGCCACGAGGTGCGCTGCACTATCCCCAAGTCCCCAAATATCACCAAGCGTTCCAAGAACACCGAGGTTGGTTTGACCACGGAGGACATTGAGCTGGCCGAGCTGGCCAAACAGCCCAAGTTCAAGGCGCGCCCAGTTAACTACGACATCCTCGAATGCGAGGCTGGTACTTACGGCGTCCCCAAAGTGGCCCCCAAAGCCCCAACCGTGCCCAAGTCACCCGCCATCACCAAGTCCAAGAATGCGCTCAGTGGTGAGAACTATGAAACCTCCGACACAACCCAGACCGTCACCTTCAAGGCCAACGCCGTGCCGGATTTTGCACGTCCGTTCCAGCCTCGCCGCTCCGGCCGTCACACCAAGGCCCGCCCCTTTAGCGGAAGCCACATCTATGAAGACCCGCGCGAGAAGCGGGCCCAGCTTGAGGCGGAGTACGAGGCCGAGCTTCAGCGACAACGCGAGTTTCGCGCCCAACCCATGCCCGCATTCGAGCCCGAGATGGTTCGTGAGACGACCGAGCACAAGGCCCCCACTGAGGTTGAGCCCTTTCAGTTGGCCACGGAGGTTCGAGGCGAGTTGGCCCGTCATAAGCTGCAAGTGCTGCATGAAACTGAGGAACGGCTGCAAAAGCAACAACGCGAGTTTCGCGCCCGGGGTGCCGACGTTCTGGACAAGCCGGTCTTCTTGCCCACCAAAAGCACCAAGCCCTTGACCAGTGTAGGTAACTTTCAACTGAGCTCAGATCTTCGTGCCAAAAAGCGTCGCGAATTCGACGAAGCCCAGGCCGAGCAGCGACGTTTGCAGGAGGAGCAAGAGGCACTGGCACGCGCCGCAGCAGAGGAGCAGGAGCAGCAGGAGATTCGACGCCTGCGCAACAAGCTTGTGCACAAGGCCTCCAAGATTCGCTCCTTCAAGTCGGTGGACATTGCACCAAGCCAGAAACGCTTGACAGAGCCCCAATCACCGGCCTTTCGCATTGCGGGCCGCAAGTGAGCGCCCCAAGTGCGCGCCGCTCTCCCCGAGTTGGTCCCATGCCCAAAGACCTTTGTTTTTTACGTATTGGACATGGCGAGGCCTACTGATGCCATGTCTGCGAGCACATTTGTTTGTTTTGTGTGTGTATGTGTGTGAGTGTGCACGATGATCAGTCTTGCTATGGCCGTGCCGGGACTTTTGATTGGGTCCATTGAAAGTACTTGCACTGCGCTTCTGTCTAGCTTGTGCCTTGGGCGTCTTGCTCTCTTCTCTCTCGAGTCGTCATCCCCATTTTGCCATAATTTGCTCATTTTTCGTTGTTGCTGTTGTTGTTCTACTTTGTTTTTTCTTTTTCTTTTCTTTTCGTTCTGTTGATGTTCATTGTGTTCAGAAAGTTGAAGCGTTGCTGAAAGAGCCCAAGCCTTCGATCCGACCCAGCCCAGCCCAGCCACCCCATGCCCGTGCCACCACCCACCAGCTCAATGCTTTCTTCTTCCTGTTAATTCTCAGCAGAGACAGAACAGGGGTAGACGCGTGATTGTCAGCATAAAATGTCAGATAAACCATTGCTTCGGCAAACGTGCCTGTTGCGAAATCCCACGGTGATGGCAGCGGGATGATTTTTTTTTTTTTTTTTTTTTTTTTTCTTCGGATCGATGCAAAGGTCAAGCATCAAGGGCCAGTGGAGCAACAGGGGGAGCGGAGCGCGAAGGGTGAATGAGGGATGAGGGTTGATGGAACGTCAAGAGAGCAGCGTGGGTTTCAAGTAGATTTGGACGCGCTGGAGCCTGCCTCTGGTTGGTCACGGCGATCATTGCGTTGTGGTGTCGCACGTGGCCCCTTGTGGCTCATTTCCGCCCAGTGGGCTTGTGGGCCAGCTGTTGGAAGTGGCCACACGAGCCGGAGGAGCTCTGATCGGTGCTCAATCATTATCATAAAGGCGGGATGGGTCAGCTGACGCCAGCGGCGCGGCGAGTGGCCTTGGCCGTCACGCTGGTCGAATGCGCTGCCTTTCTGGTTCTGGGCCTGTCCATCGCTCTGTTCGGGCCCATCCTGTTGGAGCTTGCCAAGGAGATGCATACAACACTGCAGGGCGTCTCGGTGGCCTTCTCCTCTCGATCGTGTGGCTATCTTTTGGGCTCTATCGCGTCGGTCCCAATCTTCGACCGACGCCCAAACAGCGCTCCGGCCGTGCTCGGCATCACATTGGCCATTGCCGCCCTTGCCTCAGCAGCAAGCGCGCATGTGAGCCAACTGTGGCAGTTTTGTATCCTCGTGTCCTTTCAGGTATGCTTTCCCTAAATCTTTGTTCCTCCCGGCCGTCATCTCATGGGAAACCGCGTCATGCCTGCCTGCCTGCCTTTCGATTGGCTTGAAGCTGACCTCGAACCACGCTTGCGCAAAGGGGTTGGCCATGGGTATTCTAGATACGGGTGGCAACCTCCTCATTTTCAAGCTCTGGGGTGATGAGAGCCCTCCCTACATGCAATCTTTGCACGCCTCATTTGGCACCGGTGCTTTTTTCAGTCCGTTCCTTGCCAAGGCCTTCTTGCCACCCACCCCCGTAGAAACCGAGACCGACGCGGACAATGCCACACCCGTGGTTGCACCAGCCGGTCATGTCACCCAGGCCTTTACTGTCGTAGCCACAGGCATGCTCGTGGTTGCCTTGGCCTTCCTCGCCCTCAACAGCAAAGTGCGCGCCATGTTGCGCGACCAAGCAACGGCTCAAAAAGGCGCCGAGGATGGCAATGCCACCCCATCCCCTGGGCCACTGGATGCAGCCACCTACCGCTTGATTCTCGCACTGGGTTGTGTCGTCTTCTTCCTTTACGTGGGCCAGGAAGTTTCCTATGGTGCCTTCCTCTCAGCTTTTACCCAAGAAACCGATCTGGGATACACCGCCAACCAGGGTGCAAGCATCACCAGCGCCTTCTGGGGCAGCTTTGCCGCCGCCCGCATCATGGCCATCCCCCTCTCCTTGCGCTTTACCCCACGCCAACTTGTTGTGGCTGATCTTGCAATTGCCTTTGGAGCCAGCCTTCTCTTTCTGGTGGCAGCCCAGCACCAGCTTGTAGCCTGGTTGGCATCTTGCATCCTGGGTGCGGGCATGGCCTCAGTCTTTCCCAGTGGCCTCAGCTATCTCGAGCAGCGCATCAAACTGGACAGCAAGGCCGCCTCACTCATTGTTATCAGTGCAGCCGCAGGCGAGATGCTGATTCCCTTGGTGACAGGTGCTCTGTTTTCACACTGGTCACCGATCGGCTTTCCCACGGTACGTGTGCCTTGCCTTGCGGTGGAATTCCACCACCGGGACTGGGAAAACCAGTCCATTTGCCTTCCTGTGCTCTCGTGTGCTCATCGTGCACTTGCTGATTGTCGCCTCATTCGCTTCTTTTGTGTTTGGTCTCAGGTCAATTTTGTGTTGATCTTGATGGCCACCGTGGCATTTTACACACTGGACCGCGTAGCACCCGCAAGCTCGGCAAGCCGACAGACCTTATGATCAAGGCTGCAAGCCTCACAAGGGGCGTGACCGAGCCTACTCCTATTCTAAGGCTATGACCCATCACGCGAGGCTTGAATCAGAGTTGTCGCCGTTATTTTTTAATAAACGTCAATTCGCATGTCAATCAATCACTGAACAAAAACAAGGCCCTTGGATGTCTTACCCCTACAAACGGCCTCAAAGGAGAAACAGCACGATATATAGTTGACCGTGTCCGGCACGGGTGCGCGACGAGAATGCAATCTTTTTATGGTGGCATGAACCATTGGTCAAATCTACACGATCGGTTGCAACCCGAGGGTTACCCTCTAAGAAGCAGTTGCGCTTGCTGGCACCAGTCAACAAAGCTATCCAGTCGGAACGTAAGCTCGGCTACCTGGTGACACAAGAATCGAAATAGGGCCTGGCCAGCATGATCCAAGTGTGTCGCTACTCTCAATCTATTTTGACATAACAGCTGAAACTCCTCAGGTCCGTCACAACGCGCCATCACGAGTTGCAGCGTATCAGAGAGCCTTGCTGGAATGTTTCCTAGTTCTACAGGCTGCCAAATTGTTTCAGAAAAGTTACCCAGTCTATGCAGCAAGGGTGTACACAGTTGTCGCCAGTCTTCTGTTGCTCTCTGGGCCAAGGGCAAGGTATGCGCCCACTCCTCGAGCTCCCGATCTAGCCTTGCGGGCGCTTTGACCTGACGGAAATGCTCTAGTTCACATTGAAAGCGTAGTAGCTCGCTGAGAAGCGTTTCCACGTCATGCACGGCGTCAGCAAAATCCAAGAGGTCCGGGCATTGCCACAAGTCCTGGCTGCCCCTCACACAGGACACGGTCTGCACCAGGTTTTCACAGGCCTCTTTGATATAGCGTGGCGGCGAAAGGGCGAGCGAGCGCATCATGCTGCTTGAACAAGCTGTTCCAGCCAACACTGTGAACAAAGAAGGTACAATTCAACTGCGTTGAGCTCTGGTTTCAAGGGGAAGAAAATGCGTCTTTCACTTTCCTTCCATACACATCTACCAAGATTGTCGTTTGTGCCGACATCACAAGCACTTTTTTTTTTTTTTTTGCTTGCATGACATCTTTCTTGAAAGCATTCTCGGTTTGTGAGAACACATTTTGGTCAAACTCTCAATTCTGTCGCTTGATTTGCTTCCTTGTGTTTCTTGTTGGTTACATGTGGTAGATGTGCCGTTGTTTGGGCCATTGTTATTGATGAGTCTTGTCTACCAATTCATCTCTCTCTCGAACGAAGCAAGCATTTTGCAATGCTTGCATGATTCAGCACGACGGAATGAAAGAACTGAGACACAGAGCCCAAAATATCAAATTTGCGACAACTTGACCCGGCGAGTCCAATCGAAGCTCAGTCAGAAATACGTTGCTGCTCTCACAGAAAGTCAGGAGACACTTTCTACCTTTTCTGGCTTGTGAATGCAATACACACACACACACACACACACACACACATCAGAATTAAAGCTCTGGGAAAGGCTGGTTGCACTCCAAACCACAACTGCCCGAACAACTGCAAGGCCAGCAACAATTCAACGAGGAAGCACCAGGTGAGACACATGATCAAGATCGAGAGACTCAACCAAACACAACCGCCACAACTGACCTGCAGGACCACATGGCGCTCAGTATCCAGGTTCCATCGTGATTCACATGCATGCCCTAACGGCCACAAAAGCACAATGTGCGTGAAAACCCCCACGTCTCTTTTTCCATCGCACGAAGCACGCACTTCCACCCCCCATCAAAAATTAAAAGCAAAAACTTCTTTGCCGTGTTCAGCAACATACCTGCGGAGTGACGCCCCACTCAATGCCAGTGCCCACGACGTGAAACGTGTTTTCTGAGCGGGGGATGGTGTGAAGGTCCTCCACATCGAAGCTATAGCTTGTGGCATTTTTGATCAGGTTCACGGTTACGAGTGAATATTGCCAAGTGATTCCTATCAGGAGTAGAACGCACATGATGAAGATGAGGAAGATCTTTAAACAAAATGCTCATCGGTGAGGCCTGCTCTGAGTACGTGTCTGCATGTGTGCGTGTGCACTCTACTAACCGCCATCCTGGGAAACAATCGTCTCATTGAGAGCGTTACGGCCCACAACTCGCTCAAGCTGGTCGAAACCCAGCAAGCGCGTCGGTGCCGTCATTTCTGCGCCGCAGCAGATGGAAACGTTTGAGATATTGAGCAACGGACGGCCAGCATTGCACAACCACAAGTTGCTTGGAAGACTTTGCGTTCTGCTTACCGGCCCAACCCGCCAAACCATCATCGGCTGTGGTGAAGCAACCATCTGAAGTACACGCCAGCACGCGCCCACGCTCTTCATCGTGCACATACTCGCGAAAGCACGAGCAGGCTAACAAAATTTACTGGGCGTGTGAGCAAAAAGAACGATCGACGACGCCTCAGGACAAGCAGCTTTGACCAGCCATTCAGTGCGCACCGTCATATGCAGGCCGGGTCAAATTTGTAGGAGGAAGCTCTGGCTCCACCTCACGGTGCGCTAAAAGTCGAGTAGCGAGTGCTGTCAATGAGTGTGCACGAGCAAAGGCACCGTGCTGAAGCCAATGGCGAGTACTGACCAACGCAAGTCTGAAAGAGAGGAGTTGTCATAGATGATGCATAGCGATCCAAGGCACAATAGAAGGTCTGTAGCCCCAGTCCCAAAGTGCAAGCACATCATCCCGATCAACCATCATTAGCATGATGACATGCGCAAAACCCCACGAAACCATAGCAGTGCTAAAAGCTCCCTTTCCTTTCAAACACACACAAGCTGATGGGGCACAACCGACCTGAGCGTCTGTTGCTTGATTCGCTGGTTGTACCCGAACTGCATGAGCTTTGTAGACTCCACCTGCGTTGAACAGTTAAGAGCAAAGTTTTGAGGCACCCATCTCGGCAGTAGAGTCAAAAGCACCTTACAAGAAAGACATACCAGGTGGTAAAATCAAGTTGACAGCCGACACCAACCCCACGTTCATCTGTTGCACTTCAAAGAAACCTGAAAAAAAAAACACATGTGCCAACTTCACGTGAGGCTGCTCTGACTTCAGACAGCTTTGGAAAGTGACAAAGCATCATGCAAATAGAGAAATATATGTGCCAGATAGACTGTACCGAGATCATCTCCGGGGAGAGACACATTGACCAACGCGCCGTTCACGAGATACTGGTTCACCTGCAAAAGCCAGCGGCCAACGCTGGCTCAAAGTGAGGTGTGCGCAGCGCTGCTGCCCACATGAACGCAAGAGCCCCGTGCTCGCTCTCAGCAAGTCTTGCTTGCCTGATGAGCCGGGCTAGTCCACATTCGGCCCTCGGCATCATTGCCAGTCAATTGTATCATCACGGGCTTATCTGGTGACCAGAATAGCCATGTGCGCGAGGTTGCAGGCCAAGCGATGACATGAGCAAGTTGAAACGCCAAATCTTGCAACACGAGAAGCACCGACCAAACTACTCACCATCCGTCTGGGCCTCCTCGTGTGGCCAAACCGTCACCCAATACAGCACATCAGCCGGGCTCACATATACTCGCACGCTACAACATTTCAAGACAACAAGTGAGAAACACAAAACACGCACAATCAATCGAGTTCTGCACACTCGCAGGGTGCTTGGATGGGACACAAACCGAGTGCCTGCGCCACAGATAGCAGGATCTGATGTAATAAAGTAATGCCAACCAATGCTCCAGAAAGTGCCATCTGCGTGCCAGAGTACATGAGAACAGCTCGTCACATGGCAAAGAGGAATTGAGATTGTGCGAAAGAAAAAAAAAATGGTAGTCGTACTGAGGAGAATATCGCCAGTATCCTGTGGGCCATTGGTAAATTCATGCACGACATCACCCGCCTACGTGTTCCGCGCGAGGAGCGACCATCAGTCATCAAGCTTGCCGCATGTATCATGCAAGTGGGGGTGCTTCCTTCATAATGCGTTGCACACAAAATGCTCTCACCGCTATGGAGCAACTGTCAAAGCCAGTCTTGGTAACTTTATACAAGTCTTGTTGAGCGCGGATTCCTTCGACAAACTTTATGATCATAATAGACAAAGCAGCTTAGTCCAAGCAACCATGCTCGCCAGGGCCGTCTCGCAATTCGCGAGCATGATGAGAAGCAGAGTCCTGCACATGTAACATAGGATTGTGCGCGACCAACCTGGTCCCATTGAAACCGAACGAAGCCATTTTCTGGGATATGCACATCTGGTTGTGGCTGGGAGGTCCAATGCCAGGTCACGATGGTGGCTATCAGACAGAAAAAAAGGTGAAGCATCGAAAAGCGGACAAGCAGCACAAAGGCCAAGCATGAAACAAACAGGTGGTGGAACAAAAGCATCACACCATCGCTAGGAGACGGCTGAACAAAGCTTGTGTCTGGAGGTGCAGTGGTCGTTGTAGTGGGGGGCAAAGTTGTGCCGATTCCCAGTGTATCAACTTGAACCTTCATGCCTGCACCACAGTTGCTGGCGTAGTTGTCCACAAACCATCGTCGTCCGGCCCTATCCATGCTCACTGCCAAATTGGTACTGCAGGACGATACGGTTATCATACACAATCACATCGCTGACCGTAACGTTGACATGTGGGTGTGGGAGAGACGAACACGACTCAAGAAGTACCTCGAAGTGGTTGGGCTTTGAAGCAGAACCGTGTCGACACCTGTCAAGTCACAGGCATCAAACGCAGCCTGACTTGACAACTCCAGCAAACCATGTGGTGAGTCTGTCAAGAGGGGAAGGCAGGAGGAGGAGGATGAGAGGAACCGTAATTCACGCATGTTCCCGATCACCAAATCAAGCTCGTCCTATAAAAGCCCCCCCCCCCCCCTCCTCCACGCCATCCTCCTTCTCCCTCTTCAAAGGCAAAGGTGACAGAAAGCAGCGAGCATAGGCTGACTTGTCCAGGAAAAGCGAAGTTGTGTGCCAAACTCCACCGTGGGATCGCCCAGAAACGAGCGCAGCTCGGGGCCTGTGTTGCCACGTCCGCCAATGTCAGAGAGATGTCAACAGATGTGAGGAGCGTGAGCAATTGGGATTGGTCGAGATGCATTGACGCCCAAGGTCAGTAATGCCGCGGACCTGTGATGTAGGTGCTGCTGCCATTTGGAAACACTGGGTTGAAAACCCATTGTAACGTCTATCAAAGTTTTGCGCGGGCAAACGTGTTGGCAAGTTGCAAGGCATCTTCTGGCACGCTGAGGTCACAAAGTTATCAGCCAAACCCCACGTACCAATTCCGAAGAGGCGCTGGTGGTGGGAGACACCATGAAGAGCACAGCCAGGCCACCAAGCACAGTCTTCATCGCGGCATGAGTCACCATCATGGCTGCCTCGATGCGAACAACAACGCAAAGCAGGAAAGAAAGCGGAAAAAAAAAAAAATGAGCGCTGCAAACAAAACAAAGCTCATCCACCCCCAACAGCACACAACCTTGTCTTGCTTGGTTCGTCGCAGTAAGGTGGAGACAACAGTTGTCTTCCTTTGCATTTGGATGCTAATGTTGTTGCCGCGACGTGCATGCATGCACGCATCGCTCACGAACATCACAGTCACAAAGGGTATTTGTTGTTACATGTACCTTTGGATTGTTACCAAAAATAAATTTTTCAAGTGTTGTCAAAAAATGGTTGTTGGAGAGGAGGTCGCACCTATAAGGGGTGTTTTGTTGGATGGCGGTCGGCGTTTATTGTGGTCAGATCCCAGCCCACTTGGGATGATGCGAACCGTGCAAACCTGTTGAATCTATGAGATGCCATTTTGTGAGCGTAGCTGCCCCACATCAAGAGTTATATTCTTCTTTTGTTTCTTTGCTCTGGAACTTATAAAACCTTGAAACTCGACTTTTCTCGTCTATCGGGGACTGCAGTGCAGGAAGCTTGGGCACTCAGCTTTTCAAAGATGCTCAGATAGGTAGGGCGAGAAGAATCGGTGGAGAAGTGGGCTTTCGTGCGGTGGTGGTGGTAGTAAATAAGCTTCAATTCGTGTTATTATTAAGACGTGGAAGTATGGGGCTCTAGTGCAATCAATGAGTCGATATACGCCTTGGACTTTTTGTACTCTCGTCGCAAGCCTTGATGAGCGAATCAATCTCATTCTGGTCTGTATTAGAGCTGGCCCGAGGCGCGGCTGGCCTGTTTGAGTCGCCATCGTGACCGCTCTTGAGGCGTGATGCGATCGAGTAGGCGGCGCTGACGCGGCGTTGAGCGAAAAACTGGCAAGCTCAATGACATGCTGACGACCGGTGTCTCGCTTCAGGCCCTCCTCACGGCCATGCAGTACGTGCCTAGCCTCATCAACCACCTCTACACGCTGCCCCCAAGTCTGACGTCGGGCTTGTCCGAGCTCTTGCACCGTGCTTGCAAGGACACCTTTGTCAAAGCCTTTTTTGCCAAGGTAAACCTGTCTGCACCAGCCGGAGCTGAAGGTCATGACGTTACGCTGGAACAGCTCCTGGAGGCTCGCATCTTCACGCGGGCCAACACCGGGGGCTTTGGCCTGCACGACTTGGTTGAGCGCGGACCGGTGGCTTATGTCTGCAACATGGCCAAGCTGGCCACTCGCTACCCTCGAGTTTACGATCGACTTTTGGAGGATGCATCGAGGGCTGCCGACTTTGAGGACCACGTGCAGCGAGCTGGCTTCCAGATGGCCACGGTCAAGGACGCGGCGACTCAGCGACCAGCTGAGATCATTGCCCTCCGCTCCAAGGCCGCACTGGACGACCTGATGGCCAAGTGCGCGCTGGACCTGCAGCAGGCATATCTGGCCTCACGCGAGTGGGGCGTCAGCACTGTCTTGACCATGCGGGGTCGAGACAAGTTGCGTCGCTTGAGCGACACGACCTTTGCCATTGCGGTCGTGTCCATGATGGGTTTTGGCCTCCATGAACTCATCAACGTCAAGCCGACGGACAAGTGCCTGCTCTGCAGCAGCAAGACACCCCAGCCGCGACTGACCCGCGAGCACCTGCTGACCTGCCGTCCCATCAAGCGACACAACGCCCTTCGCGACGAGATGGGCCGCCTGCTCAGGTACGCCACCCTCTCCCATGTCTGGGTGGAAAAGTCTGGCTACAACGCCAACGGTCAGAGCTGCCGCATCGACCTGCACTGCCGCAACCCCTTTCCCGGCGGTGCTCTGGGCCCAGCTCTGCCCGACCTGGGCATTGATGTGACTGTGCGCACAGCCCAACCCCCGACCACCTCGCAAGCCTGCATCAAGGTGGGCGCTGCCCTTCGCCGAGCCGAAAAGGAGAAGCGCGACTACTACACCGGTTTCAACCATGGAAAAACTCTGATCGTCCCTGCGGCGATGACGAGAACCGGTGGGTTCGCCTCCTCCTTTGTGGATCTGCTTGGTCAGCTCGCCCGCTGCGCCGAGGCCCGTGGTGTGTACCAGCCGGGGCTGGACGAGGCCTTTGTTCCTCGGTGGAAGGGTCGCTTCGCGGCGCTGGTCCATCAGATGAACGCTGGTCCATCAGATGAACGCTGACCACATCCAGCGCCACTTTGGCGGTGTCTGCCTACGCTCGTCGTAGGTAGGCACCGCCTCGGGGGTCCCTCTGTGGGGATCCCTGTGTGCACCAGTCGCTCCCTAGGTGGTTCTCGTTGTGATCTTTTCATGATGGCTTGACTTGTATTTTTGTTTTAATTTTACTCGTATTTTGCACTAATTTTTACTGCATTTTTGTAAAGTCCTTTGTATGATGTCTTCTTCTTCTGTGGTCGGTTGCCTTTTCAACCCGGCGTTGTGCCTTATTGTATGTGAGCGTGCCGTGGTGTTTTTTGTGTGATCGTGCTGTGATGGCTTATATTTGTGATGCTTGACTGCCGTTTTTGGGTGTCTAGTGTTTGAAATGGCTGTATCTCTCGATATACTTGGTCGTTTCTCACGGTTTTTGTTTCTATGGGCGTGATTCTTTGCGCTTGTACTCCTCGGCATGATAGAAGCCGTTGAATGTGTTTTGTTTTCTTGTGTTGTTTTGCGTGCCGTCGTGATTTTGATGTCGGGGTTGCACAGCTTTGCTTTCAGCTCTGAGGTTCAAACACCTAATTTATTATTATTATCTGCTCGTGCCTGACCTGCTCGGAACTGATTTGCTCGGTTCTGATGTGCTCGGGCCTGTCTTGTCACGACTGATGTGCTCGGGCCCGATCCTCTCGAGTCGGATCTGCTTGGGCCTGATCTGCTCGCGACTGATCTGCTGGGGCCTGATCTGCTGGGGCCTGATTTGGTCGGAACTGATATACTCGGTTCTGATCTGCTTGGGTCTGTCCTTGTCAACCCTGATCTGCTCGTGCCTGACCTGCTCGGAACTGATTTGCTCGGTTCTGATGTGCTCGGGCCTGTCCTTGTCAACCCGGATGTGCTCGGGCCCGATCCGCTCGAGTCGGATCTACTCGGGCCTGATCTGCTCGCGACTGATCTGCTGGGGCCTAACCTGCTCGCGACTGATCTATTCGGTTCTGATCTGCTCGGACCTGATTTGCTCGGTTCTGATGTGCTCGGGCCTGTCCTTGTCAGACCTGATGTGCTCGGGCCCGATCCTCTCGAGTCGGATCTGCTCGGGCCTGATCTGCTCGCGACTGATCTGCTGGGGCCTGATCTGCTCGGGCCTGATCTTTCGGCTATCTGCTCGGAACTGATATACTCGGTTCTGATTGCTCGGGCCTGTCCTTTTCAGACCTGATCTGCTTGGGTCTGTCCTTGTCAACCCTGATCTGCTCGTGCCTGACCTGCTCGGAACTGATTTGCTCGGTTCTGATGTGCTCGGGCCTGTCCTTGTCAACCCGGATGTGCTCGGGCCCGATCCGCTCGAGTCGGATCTACTCGGGCCTGATCTGCTCGCGACTGATCTGCTGGGGCCTAATCTGCTCGGAACTGATCTATTCGGTTCTAATCTGCTCGGGCCTGATATACTCGGTTCTGATATGCTCGGGCCTGTCCTTTTCAGACCTGATCTGCTTGGGTCTGTCCTTGTCAACCCTGATCTGCTAGTGCCTGACCTGCTCGGAACTGATTTGCTCGGTTCTGATGTGCTCGGGCCTGTCCTTGTCAACCCGGATGTGCTCGGGCCCGATCCGCTCGAGTCGGATCTACTCGGGCCTGATCTGCTCGCGACTGATCTGCTGGGGCCTGATCTGCTGGGGCCTGATTTGGTCGGAACTGATATACTCGGTTCTGATGTGCTCGGGCCTGTCCTTTTCAGACCTGATCTGCATGGGTCTGTTTTAAAGGTGTATGTCCAGTACAGTGTTATGTGTGTGGACAAGGCGATTGTCACAGAGGTATCCAACCAATCGAAGTGCATACGAGAACATGGATTGAAGCAAGGCGAAGGAACAAGACAGAACAAGACAGAAGGAGGGAAGTGGAACGACCGAGGTCAAGAAGGAAAATGGTACCGATCCAGGGAGATCGCTCCCATTTATAGCAGGTGGAAACACACACACACAGTGGAGACAGAGAATGGACTATCACACTGAAGACAGGTGGAGGCGATATCAGCAATCTGTTGGGACCAACAGATGCCACAACAAGATGATACACCAAGATGGCACAGCAAGATGTTACACAACAAGGTGGGACAACATCAAGTACCAGAGGACACACAACGTGGTAAAGTATTTTTTTCTGACATCTTGTCGTGAACCACGTTGTCAGATAAAATCTGCAACCCCGCTCCTTGCGGCCCGCGTTTTGGCGGCGCCCTCGCTCCCACCGTGTCCGCTCGCTTGCTCGCTTGCTTGCCCCGCGGACATGGCCTCTGAGTCCGGCGGCGAGGATTCTTGGACCCAGGTCCGCGGTGCTAAGCGCCCGAGTGCTGAATCACCTCCAAGCAACACCACCACCTCGCCTTCCCAAACTCATCGTTCTGCAAAACACACAAAACATGGCAGCGCTCGCCACGACCGTAACCATGTTTTCCCTGACCCTATGACTACCCCGCTTCGCCCTCGCGCCCACCACTCTGTCTCTACCGCCCGTGCCTCGTCTCATGTGCCCTCGACGTCCCCCGCTGCCGGTGCGACCGAGTCTTCGGCACGTGCCGTCGTGCCCGCGGCCGAGCCAGTGACCAGGACGTCAAACGGCGGCGGGGAGCACCGAGGATTTGTCAGCATCGGTGCCCTCTGAGCCAAATGGCAGCGGGGAGCAGCAACCCTCGCCCGAGTCCACAGGGCAGACACATCATTCGATTCCTAACACACCATCGGATTTTTTGACCATGTCTTCGGATGAAAGCGACTCCCCTCCTCGCTCCACCGCACTCCGCGCGCCCACCCCTATCGCCCCTGCCGCGCATGATGGTGCCGGTGACACAAACGGCAGTGCCACGCCTGAGCCATTGGTGCAATCACCTACACCCGCTCAAATGGTGCTGCCATATCCATCGGGTACACAACAAACCCATTCCGATCCCTCTCCGCCCTCTGCTTCACCCCCTGCCTCTGCCATTTTGCCCGCTGCCGTTTCACATCCAGTCGAACACAGTGAGCATACAAACTCAGCCCCACTTGGCGAAGTCAGTGAGAGTGAAACACACAATACAGCGGGCGAACACAGTGAGAGTGAACAAGATGTCCTTCTCAGCGATCCCGCTCCGCCCATCGCTGCCAACGTGCTGGATGCCCAGCGCAAGGTCCTGCTGAAGACATCTGGCCACAGGCAACTCCTCGCCTGCCCATTTGGGCTTTGCAAATGCAAGGGGCCCCGCCTTATAATAAATAAATTAGGTGTTTGAACCTCAGAGCTGAAAGCAAAGCTGTGCAACCCCGACATCAAAATCACGACGGCACGCAAAACAACACAAGAGAACAAGACATTTTCATCGGCTTCTATCATGCTGAAAAGTACAAGCGCGAAGAATCACGCACAAGGAAACAAAAATCATGAAAAACGACTAAGTATAACCAGAGATACGGCCATTTGAACCACTAGACACATAAAAAGGCAGTCACACATCACAACTACAAGCCATCACAGCACAAACATAAAAAACACCACGGCACGCTCACATACAACAAGAGACAGCGTCGGGTTGAAAAGGCAACCGACCACAGAAAGAAAAGTCATCATACAAAGGACTTTACAAAAATTCAGCAAAAATACCACACAAATACAGTCAAAATCAAAGTAAAATTAAAACAAAAATACAAGTCAAGCCATCAAAAGATCACAACGAGAACCACCTAGGGAGCAACAGGTGCACACAGGGATCCCCACAGAGGGACCCCCGAGACG